TCGAGTATTGCTAAGCTCGACTCGAACTCGAAATATAATATTGAAACTCGACTCGAACTCGAAAAGGCTCGAACTCAAAAAAAAATTAAGAGCTCGATTAAAACTCGAGACTCGATTGAAGCTCGATTCTGAGCTCGATTCAAGCTCGACATTGCCCCAAGCGCAAAGATGCTTAAACCTATTCTCCCCCATCTTCTTTTATATAAGTTACCAACCTCGAGCTGCTTGTTTGCTACTGATGTGGGATTGCATAACGTTCCTCCACTTTCTTTCTTCCTCTCTCATTCAACAACAGTCGAGATGAACACAGATTGTGTTTCATGTGATTGCCGACCTTAATCCTTGGGGATCAAACAAACATGTCCTTAGCTTAGTGCTATGTAGAAGTTGAAAATTGAGAGATGAGAGAAGTAGGTTGGTTTATTGTTCACACCAACTCATACATCAAAAACCATTCTTTCTCGGCTGGCTAAACTTCCATATCCGGATGGCGCACAAAATTTGTTTGATGAAACGCGTTAAAGAACTTCTCAACCCATGGAATAAGGCCTCACCATTATTGGGTTCTTGAGTTCAAAGTAAGCTGACTTGAGTTGCTGGTTGATCACTATTTACTTGTAAATTCGAATATTCCATTATATATGAAAGAAAAGAAGATTATTTGAGTAGAAGAAACGGTGCTTAATACATAACATCCCTTCCGGAATCCATCACGTTTGGACTTGGTTACGAAAGCAACCGGTTTCTGGGACTCTTCTTTGCTCATCGGATAACCAGCAGGTGGCGCAGTCACATAGGATTCCGGCGCAGTGGATGTTGACGGTGCTGGGTATGTAGCTTATGGATCATTCAAAAAGAACTAAACCATGTTAATATTGTTGGGTTTTCCAAATAAAATTGGGTTAATTATGGAGTTGGTCATCAAAATATCAGATTAATTAATATTTTTAAGATACTTACAAATTGGTCACCAAAATTGATTTAAGAAGATTGGGTTAAACATAAATGAATGAACATAACCGAACATAACCGAACGAACATAACCGAACGTTCACGAACGTAAATGAACGAACGAGACCTATGTTCATGTTCGTTCATTTAATTAAACGAATACAAAATCTTGTTCATGTTCGTTCATTTAATAAATAAACGCACATAAACGAACTTCCCGCCGCACGGTTCATGAACGGTTCGCTGAACGTTCAGTTCATTTACAGGCCTACTTTCTGGATCATTAGTTTCCCAATCATCGGTTGTTTCAACATGTTATCATTCATCACACGTTCTTGATGTTGTTTTTTCTTTTTCCGTCGCTGTTACCACCGTCAATGAGTGTATTTATTTGCCACTATCATCTACTGTTGCTCTGAGGTAGCCGTTTCTTTTGTGTTATCATGGATTTTGAACAAACGTAGTCAAGAACTCTCGGCAGGGATAGTTTTTGCATAGAGTGCTTCGTTGGTTTGGATTGATCTCAAGGAACGATTTGATAAGGTGGATGGATTGCAAATATATTTTTTACATGGAGAAATTGTTTGACACACTCAAGTTATATCTGCAATTTCTGTTTATCATACTCGGCTTCGATTATTATGGGATGAGTATGATGCGATTTCACCATTTGCATTGTGTAACTGTGAGACAACGCGAAGCAATATTGAGCAAATGAAACAACAACGGTTGTTTCAGTTTCTTATGGGGCTAAATGAATCTTATTTAATGGTGCTTACCCAAGTTCTTTTGATGAAGTCGGTGCAATCAGTTAACCAAGCATATTCGATGCCGGTTCAAGAAGAAGGTCAACGACTAAATTCAAGCAGAACAATGATGCTTTCCGAGCCAACTGCATTGTATACAAGTTCTTTTTCTTCTCCTGCTTCTCGAAAGCGGTTTAATGGTGTGTGTGACTATTGCCATATTAAAGGTCACAAGAAAGAAACTTGTTATAAATTGGTTGGTTACCCAACGAACTTCAAGTTTACTAAGAAGAATAGAATTTCTGCTAGCAATGCTATAATGACTAGTGAAACAGATTCTGTTAATGATGTATTAACTACTAATAATGCTGCTCAATCAAGTCCAACTCGGGTACTTGTTTTTATACTTGATCAATATCAACTGATTCTTGATTTGCTGGGAAAGGAGTCCACTGTTCAAGCGGCTGCACATAGGGATGGCAACTCAACCCGAATCCGACGGGTTCCGACCCGACCCGACCCGATCGGGTCGGATTTTTTAAAAAAAAAATCGGGTTCGGGTCGGGGTTTTTTTAAATGCACTGTTCGGGTCGGGTCGGGTTTAGGGTAAAAAAATCCGACCCGACCCGACCCGAAAAATATATATAATTTTATCTTATATATTTAGGGATAATTACAATAATATCCCTCCATATATAATTTTTTTCAATTAAGTCACTGTTTTCATTGAATTAAATTTTTTTTTATTATTTCGGGTCGGGTTGGATCGGGTCGGGTTTCTAAGTCATATATTCGGGTCGGATCGGGTCGGGTCGGGTGAAACATTAATTTTATCGGGTCGGGTCGGGTCACGGGTGGAGAACCCTTTCTTCTCGGGTCGGGTCGAGTGGCCCAAAAACCCGACCCGACCCGACCCATTGCCATCCCTAGCTGCACATATGGCAGGTAATAATCTTAAACCTTTGAGTCAGTTTTGGATTCTTGATACAAGGGTTACGAACCACATGACATTTAATCTAGGGTTTTTGGACTCTCCTGTTGCTTGTAACTCCTCATTGTTGGTTCAATTGCCAAATGGTAAAACCACCAAAAATAGCTCATATTGGAAATTACCTTTTTTTCCACCAAATCCTACCTTAACCAAAGTACTATATGTACCAGATTTTCATTACAATCTTTTGTCAATTTCACAGCTAACCAAAGAACTCCATTGTTGTGTATTATTTATCCATATTTTTGCTTATTACAGGACCTTTGCAGTGGAGAGATGAAGGGGATTGGTAGACTTCAAGGCGACCTTTACATTTTCCAGCCTAGTTTCCAATTTCCCAAACCTTCTGGATCTTCTTCACAGAATAGTCCAACACCGTCTGTTTTTTTCCCCCCAATTCTTGTTTGCATTCTAATACACAAAAAACCATATTTCCTAGTTCTAGTGTACTGTGGCATGCTAGGCTTGGGCACACATCTGTTAGTACATTGAAAATAATGTCACAAATAGATTGTGATTTTTCACATTGTGATCATATTAAAAGGTATGGTTTTTGTCCACTAGCTAAGAATTCATGATTGTCATTTCCTGTTAGTACTTCTCGTGAGCAATAGTTTTTTTCTCTTATGGACCTATGGTGGCCATATCGTATCTCCGCACATAGTGATCATTGTTATTTTTTTAACTATAGTTGATGATCACACTCGAATGGCTTGGGTACATCTCCTTAGGCTGAAAAGTGATGCCATAATTGTTAAACAGTTCTTTGTGTGTGTTCGTAATCATTTTTCTGTTTCTATTAAAACAATTAAAAGTGATCATGGTAGTGAGTTTATTAAGGGTAGTGATTTCTTTTCTTCCCGTGGCATTATTCATCAGAGTTCGTGTGTTCGTACCCCTCAGCAAAGCAGAGTAGCTGAACCAAAACATCAACATTTACTAAATATTGCAAGAGCCTTTAGGTTTCAATCTCGAGTTTCAGTTAAGTTTTGGGGTGAATGTGTCTTGGTTGTGTGCTATATTACCTACGATTGTTTTGGGCTAGAAGTCACCCGTTGAAATGTTCTTTCACCAAGTGTCTGATCTTTCTCATCTAAGGGTGTTCGGCTGTCTATGATATGCCACAGTAGCAAAATCTCAAGATAAGTTTGCTTCCAAGGCTATACCCTCTATTTTATGGGGTATTTCATAGTCCAAAAGGGTTACTTATTGTTTGATCTTTAGTTTAAAACTTTCTTTGTGAATCGTGATGATGTGTTCCATGAAACAATCTTTCCTTTTCAATTTCATGATACATCGTCGCCCTTATTTCCTCTTACGCCTTCACTGATTGATCTTGATCAGATTTTTTTACATATATCAACTACTCCTACAAGTAACACCTTACGTGATGCTGGTAATATGTCATCAGATGTTTCAGTTCCACCTTCACTTGGTTTGTTTTCAGAGTCCACTTTGCCCGTGTCACCATGCCCTCAAAGTCATGTGTCACCTACTCTTGTTCTTGCCCTTTTGCGTAAGTCTTCCAGGATTACAAAACCTCCTTCATTATTGTCTGATTTGGTTTTCCAGCCGAGTTCCTCTTCATCTACTTCACTGTCCAACGGTACGCATCCTATTGCCAATTGTATTTCCTATGATCACCTATCATCCCAAGCTCGTCCTTTCGCTATTTTTTATCCTCTATTGTTGAACCTCGAACTTATCATATGGAAATTAAAGACAAACAATGGGTTGAGTCCATGCAACAAGAAGTTCATGCTTTGGAGACAAAATGACACGTGGGGAATAGTGGATTACCCCTGGTAAAAAACTTATTGGTTGCAAGTGGGTATACAAGGTGAAATATAGTTCTAATGGTTTGGTTGAGAGGTTCAAGGTTCGATCGGTAGCTAAGGGTTACAGCCAACGTGAGGGTGTTGACTTTCATGATACTTTCTGATCGGCGGTGAAGTATGTTACTGTTCGCTTGATCATTTCTTTAGCAGCGATGTTTGGTTGGTCGTTGCTTCAAATGGATGTGTTTAACGCTTTTTTTTCAGGGTGACCTTTATGAGGAAGTCTACATGTGTCTTCCAGAAGGATTTTGCAGTCATGGGCGACTAGGGTTCAAAGGTGTGTAGAAACTACTAACAATTCAACAATTGATTTGCAACCATAGAATTAAAATGTTTTTGTCTTTTGTATTTCGTCATTTGCTTTAATTCTATTTTTTTTCATCAACTTTGAATCTCAGATTAATCAATATATTCGATTTCATTCGAATTTTATAAACTCAGCTTTAAAAGTCCAAATGATGACAAATATTTTTATTATAAAGAATGGACAAACAGCACAATGCTAGCTATTTCGCCCTGAACGTTCCCGTTGCAGTGGCTTAACTATGAAAAATACAACAAAAAATCAAAGCCCGTTGTACATGATCGGTCTCCCGAATGTTATTTCATCGATTCTTAGGAGGGCAAACAATGACGAATATATTCAGAACATATGCAGGCAACACATTGGGGATGAAAATCTCCGACCTTATTGCTGTAGAAGTTCAGAAAGCTGAGAGAACTCGAAATGCGTTTTATTTATTATTGCCTTAAAACTCTATTTGAGCTGAAGACAAAGTTTTCTTCACCAGCAACTGTAGAGTTCAACCGTCCGGCTGCCCAGCCATTGTTTATTGCACGAACGGCAGCTCTTGCGGGATCCCCTGTCACACGGCTCCCCTCAACCTGGTTTTCAAATTCCGGGAGACCGAGCAACTTCCTCTCTTTTCTTTTCTCTCTCTCTTCGTTTCTTTCTTTCCTCAACCAGCTCTCCACTGTTCTCTGCAAATTAAAACCAATACAGCAATTACCACTATAAAGTACTCTAAGTCAAAACGCATAAGAAAGTTCAGATAGCTTCTTCATTCATAACCAAATAATACTCCAGGCGTCTACCAGGAAAACTAACCATTAGTGACAAATCGCTACTCTCCTTAACCTTCTCCATCGGCATTGCTAACTGCAATTTCCCCTGAGCAACATAAACCTGAAACGAACGCAACGGTTTTGCCTCTCAGAATATATATTAAATCGTCTATTTCAAAAATTAATTTCGAAAGAAAGGTATCTCTTAGAAATGGAACCGAGACAGACAATATGTGATGGCCACTTTTCTAGACCGTCAAATATATGTGTTGCATAGATAATCGTGGCACCTCGCTCTTCACATTCCTTTCTAAGAAAATTCAGAAGGTCAGCCCTTGCTAGCACATCTAGGTCAACCGTGATCTCATCAAGTAGAAGAACCTATACAGGCAAGGAAGCAACCTTGATGAACAATTCATACAGGGAGAAACACAAAAACAAGGTAAAAGGAAAAACCTCCAGAGTTCCTTGTGGAATGAAAGGAGGTCGGAGCTTGAAGGATTGAAATTACAGTATGACAATCAAGAGAACTGAAAATACCTTGAATGGCTTAAGGAGACCCATACAAATTTGGACGCGCCTTCTCTGACCGTCAGATACCTTGTGCATCCTCCACGAGAGATCAATATCTAATACCTACAGCAAAAAGCAAGTAAGACTGGTTACTTAACTGAAGCTAGTATGTTTATTCATTTTCATTTTTCACAAAATTTTAGCAAACTATTGTAGTATCTAGACAGTTTTTTAAAAAATCATTGATATTGAGACAATGAGCTATCAGATACTACCTCCCACCATTTCATATACTCTCATCAAAATGCATACCTTAATTAGTTCAGCTCTTCTTTGGGTATCAATACCTGCAACTCCAAAAATCATTTTCTCTGCAGAAATGTCCATTTGAATTGGAACCTCAAATCCTGCAAAAGCAACATCACGTCTCCACTGCAAAAGAAAAACACCTCCTTTAGTTTTACTGATAACGAATGCATTAAATTACTTACAATCTATGTTACCCAGATTAGGATGAGTGTCAGCTATGGATGTGCCCGACACAGTTGGGCTCAATTTTCGTTAAAAAATTTCCAGTAAACTGAGAGATTGTACGCCTATATCGTTCGAACATGTGTTGGTAAAACGTATCATGTACTTTAGGAAAAATGAAGAGTCCACCTGACATAAGCTTACAATTCCTTTGACACAAGATTCAGCTAGAGCGGAACTTTAAAATAAACAAGTTTTCTTCATGCAAACTAAAACTAATTCATCTAAATGAATTCAGTGCAACTAAAACTGAAACCCAAGGAAATGACTTCCCAGAATTTCCCTTCCCAATACGAAAGAAAGTTGCATTTTCCCCCGATCATGTCTCAAAGAGACGAGTTTCAGTTCATTCAACAATTCAAACAAACAAACAAACAAACAAAAAAACAACTTTAACTTCGTTACATTAGCAACATTTTCCAAAATCCTAGAAAAAAAATACTAAAACTAACCTCTCCTCCAAGATAACAAAGATCACCGGAGGACGCCAAAACGGTGTCGTGGAAAGCAGATCTTCCCAACACTCGAACCATGTGCGGTTCCACCATATGCTTCCCTCCAAGAATCTTCAATATCGTTGTTTTCCCTATCGATCATCGGAGCAAATAAATAAAAGAACTAAAAAATGAATTTTATTATTTCAATTTCCTAGATTTTTTTCCGTTAATATAAACTAATTAGCTACCAGCGCCATTGGATCCGACGAGGAGACACCGATAACCGGCGTTGAGATTAAGAGAGAAATCCTCAATCAGAGGTTTGGACCCCGGCGGCGGATGGCCGTCGATTCCCGGATACGTGAATCTCAAACCGTTGATCTCCACCGTTGGCTTTGAACTCTCAATCACCGCCATTTCTCTGAGTAGGTGAGTTCTCCCCCCACTAAAATTTTCTAAAGTATTTATAAACTATAATCTCCACCGGATTTTTATGCAAGTTACGAAAGCACCCTTGCTCTTCAACGTGGCGCCATCAGAGCCAAGTTTCAATGTAGTTTATACTTAACAGTAAATTGTTTTGTAATGAGAGGGCAAAAACGTCAATAAATTTGGAAATTGAAAAACAGAAAATGACTTCGCAATTTCCCAGATCAAAACGCAAGTTATCTTGCTATTTTGATTTCCACTTAAAGAGTTTTGGGGTTATTTTTTATCTGCTTCCCTTTGAAAATGGCGGCGATTTACAGTCTTTATATAATGAATAAATCAGGAGGTTTGATCTTCTATAAGGTATCACCACGTTGAGATATTTTCCTGTTTGTTTCTCGAGAATGCTTGCTCATTTTTTTGTTTTATTTTAAGGATTATGGATCGAAGGGACAAGTGTATACCAATGACAGCTTGAGAGTGGCTAGTTTATGGCATTCGATGCACGCCATCTCACAGCAGCTATAGCCCATCACTGGCTGTTCAGGAATTGAGCTACTTGAAGCTGATACATTTGATCTCAATTGCTTCGAATCCCTTACTGGTAAATCATGTTTTCCGAAATATCAGAAAGTATTCTCTTGCTTTATCTTAATTAATGGGAAATTTGAAGTGTGAAAGAATAATCGAAGAAACTGATTTATGGATCTGATTTTCCCATTGAAAAGTAGTAGAATTCGTTCAGCCATTGTTTGAATGCTTGGAGATGCAATAGAGAAAAAGAAATTTGCCTCATCTTTTCCTAAAACATGGAATTAGGAATTCATACCATCTAATTTGAGCTAATAAAATGAAGTTTCTGTGAAAATTCACTTATTGTTTTATGCTTATGTCGATAAAGGAAGCCTGCATTATTTGTTGGATGCAGTTGACAATCCTCTAGTTTGAAGCTTAAGTTAATTTTTTTGGGCAATTGTTTATGCTTCAACTCGATCATAGGATATTGCAATGGAAAGAAATTCATTCTCTGATTGTGCCATTAATCTTTGTTGATCTCACTCTCTACTTCCTTGAAGTACCCAAAGCATATTCGACATGGGTATGAGAATACGGTCCTTTAAAACCCTCCACATATGTGAAAAAACTTTTAAAATATTAAACATACCCATATCGATTTATACTTGTATCTGATACTCATACTAAATAGCGATAGATATTGAACATACCCATATCGACTTGTATTCGTATCTGATACTCATTCTAAAGATTAAGTAGTTATAGGTACTGAACATACCATATCGACTTATATTCAGATAATAGTGATAGATATTGAACATACCCATATCGACTTGTATTCGTATCTGATACTCATTCTAAAGATTAAGTAGTACTGATAGATACTGAACATACCATATCTACTTATATTCAGATAATAGTGATAGACATTGAACATACCCATATCGCCTTGTATTCGTATCCGATGCTTATAGTAGAGACTTAGTAGTGATAGATATTGAACATACCCAATATCGACCTGTATTTGTATCTGATACTCATATTAGAGACTTAATAGTAGGGGTGAATGTTCGATCGAGTCGAGTTAAAAAACTTCAAGTTATTCGAGTTGACGAGTCCTATTTTATAATTTGGAGTTGACTTGAAATTTTTTCGAGTCGGGTCGAGTTTATAAAATTCGAGTTAAGTCAAATTTTTTAGTTTCTATTTAAATTTAATTGTAAATATTTACAATATTATGACATTAATTTAAACGTTATTTTATAATCATATACAATACATATATATTTTTTTGTATCTTTTTCATATGTAATTTACATATACCATACAAAGTCGAGGGACTCGACTAAAACTTAAAAATCAATCTACTAATTATTAAAAATTTCGAGTTATTCGGGTTAAATTTTACAATTCGATTTGATCTTGAAATTTTTTCTAGTAAAGTCGAGTTTATAAAATTACAACTCGAAGTCAATTCAAATCAAATTTTTTCAAATCAAGTCGGATCGAAAAAATTGATTTTTCGAGTCGAGTCTTCTCATCCTACGTAATTGTGATATATATTGGACATACCATTATCGACTAGAGACTACGTCGAGATATAGTTAAGTCTTACCAAAAAAAAGCTGATTGCAAGCACACTCACAAAAAGTCTGCCCTTTCTTGCCAGCCTCAAATATTCTAAAAGAATAAAGAATAAAATTACAACAGCTCATCATTGTAGAGCTGGATGATGATTGATCCGTTGTATTGATTAGCTGCTCTGTAAAAGATTTATGCTTCTCTTGGATATAAATTCGACATTTGTCCCACTCGAAAAGTAATGAACATGCTGTACAGAAAACTGATATATATCTAATATAGGAAGATGTTGGATTGACCATCTATATCTAGAGATGATCTAAGGTGAGAATTTTTCTAATGATAAAGTGTTTAATAACCATTGAGATTATATTATCTGAAAATTTGCACTTGAAATACTTGATACCCATTTCTCTTTTTTGGTCTAGTGGCAATTTATGATGAATAAACCACTTATTCTTGTATTTTCTCGAAATTCATTTTTTTGGATGTACAATTTTTTAAGGTACTCCTGCATATGCTGATTTTGTAAATATGTATATTGTTATAATATGCAGGGACGAAGTTCTTTGTGGTCTGCGAATCTGGAACACAGCACATGGAAGCTCTCTTGAAATTCATCTATGAGCTCTACGCTGAATATGTCCTGAAGAATCCCTTCTATGAGTTGGAGATGCCTATACGGTGCGAGCTCTTTAACATCAACCTGACACAGGCAATACAGAAGGATCGCGTTACGCTGTTGGGACGATGAAATTGTCCTCCTATGGTTTGTATCAGCTATGTTAATGTGATGCATTTTAGACCCGTGTGCTCAGTTCATAATTGCTGTGTGATTTACTGCATTGGATGATTAGGGGTAGTTATTTTTCTCAATTAACAATGAGATACCTAGTTAACTTGGAAACTGTCTCTAGTGTTTTGATCAAGGAAGTAGGAATTGCATCACCGTGACTTGATAGTTTTAAGCCTCCATCTTCTCTACGTGAAAGCAATGATCACTAGAACTAGGAGAGCAACCCATCACTGATGGGGCCAAACCAATTTGTATCATTTTCCAGTGATGTTTACCTTCCTAATGTGCCCTTGGCATTTCCCTGTTTTACATGATGTTAAAGACTCGTTTCAACCAATCACAGAAGTTTAAATTATTGTAATTTATATCACCAATACTTCTGAAATCTTATCATACTGGACCCAAAATCTATAATATTCTCCATTTCCATATCATCCATACATCTTCAAGCATATGGAAAGGAGTTTTTCCATTAATTCATTAGAAAACATACTTTCTTACACCAATATCATCATAGCATATTTCTGACATAGCAGAAAAACTGATATGCACATAATCAAGAACTGAATACAATTATTCCACCATATAACTATGGCAAATCTAGATGAAGATTTGCTGATATACACTAATTATAGAATTATTTGTTAATAAAAGACAAAGAAGGCCAGTCTGGTTTCATGGATGTTTTCATGCTCTCATTTACAATTGCAGGGGTTGCAGGTGCAATTGTCTCCACACTTGCACCCATTCTCAGCCCCAACTCCCATCTCAGATCCCTCAAAATGCCTGCATGTATTCAAAAACAGTAAATCAAAAGATTTAAAAGAAGACATAACTTTGCTCTATGTTTTTACGTATCTGGTGGTGCGTACGTTTTCTGGGGTGCCACGCCAAGAACAAGAGTCTCGGTTGTGGTCCTCTCGTCAACTATGTCAGGGACCATCTTGCATCTACAATATCATCCACAAAAGAAGCTTTAACAAAAGTATACAGACGATTTTGAAGGGAAGGAAAGTAAAGGAAAAGGATAAATGAATTACCCTCCACAGCCGTTGCCGCACTTGCAACCAGAGCCGCAGCCACAGTTTCCTCCGCAGCTAGACATGTTTCAATTCTTACGGATAAAAGAGAGACGATTTTGAAGAATTGCACGGGTTAACAAGGCAGATAAGTCTGAGTTTATAGATGGGAGAGAAGAAAGAACTTCACTGACATCCGTACACGTGTCAAGAATTGGCTTGGTGTTCATCCATAGGGTGTATTTTGAAGCTACGTATCCGTGCTGTGTTCCACGTATCCCCAAAAATTATCTACTCCTATCATGCACTTAAATGAAATGAAAGCGAAAGATACATGTATCATGTGACCGAGTCCAAGGGAAAGGGGATGTATATTAATATATATATATATATATATATATATGAAGTGTCACTGTATATATAGATATTGATGATTCTTTTGTTTACTTTTTTGGCAAAATGAACGGACCAGGTTTCTCTATGATCCTTTTAAACATTTCCCTTTCCCTAGGCGGGGCCACCATGGATGGTTCCAGTTTTATTTTTGCTTTGTCCTCTTAGGTTTAGAAATGATAAAATAGAGAGAATTATTACCAAATAAGTATTTCCAAGTTTGGGTAAATCAAGATGACTGAAAATAAGCTCTTCAACCTCAACCGCTAAGCTAGCATGTTCATCCGCCTATCATTGGAGCAACTTACACTTGCTCAATTTTAGTTACTTTGGATTAGCTATCCGAAGAGATTTCAATTGAATGGCTGAAATAGATAGCATCCTCAAAGTTTCAAAAGAAGTACAATGTCAAGTGTTCATCCTAATGGTAAAGTTTGAATCCTCTAATCCTTCAATTTGGTTTGCAGATGGGATAAAAAGTCGGGCTTCTCGTTGGGAAGCTCCAAGCTTTTCCTTGGCTCTATATCTGCTTCTTGCCATGAACCAATGATTGAGATAAATTAGTAAGGGAAATGTATGTTCTTTATGAAAAAGATGAAACAAATAGGGCATGTACCTTGTAATGCACAACTTTGTGGAGAACTTGGTTCTTCCATCTGCATGGTTTGAGGCTTACTGTGTTCAACTGTTCATAATGTGCGTATGATAATTGAAGTTCATCATCACTTGAGATATTAGCTTACAGTTCAAAGATAAGTGTCCTGAAGAAAGTGAACTGGAAATGTATGTCGAATTATCTTCAGACTCAAGGCTATATGCTTCTGAAATCGGCAATCCTATGCCTCTCTTTGCTTCTCTCCTGCTGCATGTTTTTAGTTGGACACGCACAACTCAATATTCCTGTGTCAGATACCTACTTATATTCGAGTCTAAACACACTCTTACTTTATCAATATATATATCGTTTCTTCATCTTAAATTTTCCTTCTCGGCATGCATGATGAATGACCGCCTGCACCAAGATGGTCCCCCACGTCGGAAGCTGGATTTTCCGCCACAGGTCACTCACCCCTTGCTTCCTATTGCTGATTTACACCTCCACTAAAAGAAATCTCCTAAACAATAGAATTAACCCTGAAATTGGCATCTATTAATTAATCAAGTAGTTAAGGATATTCACAATCTTATATAGATTCGAATCTCGACGTTTATATAAAATTTTATTTTTTCTTTTATTTTGTTCGAACCTGTGTTATTTAAAAGGACAAATCATCCTTTATCTTTCTTTGAGTTTTAATATCCAACCAATTAAATCAATATATACTGACACAATTCATATATTCATGTAGTTTTTGCCTATTTTGTCATATTATAATTGTCTTCAAATTATTTCGTGTTTATACACGTAGCAACAAATTACTAATTAATGTTATATGTTAACATATTTACATTATATTCGTGCTAAATCATATGTCTAATGTATAATGATGTGATGTTGAACATTAACACCTCAAATGAAAAGGTAAGCTTATAGTACTAACACGTTTATGTACACCATAGCAGAACCAACCATTTCAGCTTTTCACCCCTTTTCCTTAACGGTATCTTTCTCCCCCATCCCTCATTTTAAAAGGAGTGTATTTTGGTCTATGGAGCCAAGAGCCTGAGACCTGGTCCCGCTTTGTTGTCCTTTCTCTTGGCCCGGGACAAATATGATTCCTCTCTCCCCTCCACAGGGGAGATAATGTCCGAATCATTTGTCCCTTTCTCTTCTCTCTTTGTTCTCATCTTCTCTTATTCATTTTGAGTTTCAAAATCCAAAACTTGCTCTTTTCCTTTTGGATTATCATTAAATAACCAACCTTCCACCACTCCTTTTCGACCAAGTCCTATCCGTTTGATGATGGCACAAAGGGTACGTTTTCTGATTTGTCTCTCCGTCCCTTTCAAAGTTTCGAGCTTGTGTTGATGATTCCTTGCGTTATTCTTCATTTGCTTGTGTTGTAAATGCAGGAACAAGGGTGGCCTCTAGGCCTTAAGCCATTGAATGCAAGAATTGGGTTGCTGACATACCCTGATTTCTCTGCTTTTATCTCATTCATCACTGCTTCTTCCCCCACCTCCTCCTGCATTTCTTCTTCGGATCTTGATACCCAGGTCAGCACCCAAATTTTCTTATATAATCAAAACCCATATCCCATCATATGTTGAACAAGATGACAACAAAATGGAAGATGCCCCCAAGCTGTTGGATCCTGAACCGATTCATGTGTTTAAAGTGGCATTGGTCACTTTGAGGTCACATACACAACGATCCAACACTTGTTTAAGCTGTCACCTGCATGGATCCCATCTTTATTTGTCCAATGTTTGAATCTCTCTCTCTCTTTCAAGTAATGGTGTTGGGCATTCAAGTTAGACGCATGCATGTATTTAACAACTTGAATAGAAATGCGTTGGTGGGTTTTGGTTTTGACGAACTCTTGTTTTTGTTGCAAGTCGACTGGGTCATTCTTCCATGAAAAGAGCATAACACTGGGCAGCCTCATAGGAATTTCGAGCTTTCTAGAGATGTCAAGGACATCAACCAGGAGAAGAATAACACAAACCTCGAGAGAAGAGAAGAAGAATTGCAAATGTAGGACCTGGCTGTTCTCATTATGTTCGAAACTAAGCACTGATGCAGTGGACACAAACATCAAATCTAACTCACTGGGTCAGTTTCTTCAAGTAGAAAGGCGAGCGGCACCCAACACTTGCACATGGAATCATCACCACACCAGTGTTGCATATGATTTCTAGCTTACTGCATAACCCAATTCACTTTTTTATATTCAAGGATTCTTCACGAAAACGTTTATGATGGTTTCCCTTCTCCTTAATTTCAAGATTGATGTAATCATATTAAATCGAAAGGGATGAACTTTCAAAATAAATAAACAAGGGACAATTAAATTAAATAAGGAACCATATCATGTATACGAGATTAATTGCATCAAAGTCAAGCACTTGAAATCTCTCCTTTCCAAGGTGAATATAAGTCGGACAATGTCCCATGGAGACTGAAGGGCAAGGATTGGGTAAATGCTGTTAAGTTGAAGGTGCAACACGCCATGATTTAGCTGCAGAGTTAGGTGACAAATTTGCCAAAATAATGATGCTGGATGGTGTCGATATGTTTCTTAAACTTGGTGAACATAGAGGTAGATGAGCTGAAATCTTGTTTGAACAAAGCAGGCGAAACCAAGTCCTTGATTGAACTTGCTAATCCCTTCACTCCTTGCCAAGTGTGTTGAACATTAGAAACCGAAAGCCCACCATTGGTGATCCAACAGGAAGACTATTATTCTAATCTCAGAGACAGATTGAACGGCCATTGCAATCGCTGGTGGCTTCCAAACTAATTCAAAAAGCCTTGGGCTGTCACTGCTATTTATGGTTTCTTCTCAGACTGCCAACCCTACATGATTTCTGTCTCCTCTTGAATAATAATGAGCAACCCCCCCCCGGGGCATAATTGGTACCTAAACATTCTTCTTTCTCTCCTCTGTTTGATTTTTCTTGAAATTCATGAAACTCAAATCAAAGTTTCGACCTTATCTTAGTCCATTTATAATTTTCAATATATGATCATTGTGAAATCAAGATATATTGCTTTTCTCACATCACCGTTCCTATTTGGAAGAAAATATACTAGCACCAATGAATAAAAGAAAGCCCGAAAATTTCACTTTGAAAGAAAAGTTTTAAGGATTTCTTGTACAAGTTTACCTATAAAATGTAAACGACATTAGACACTTAACGACTAGATAAAAAAAACAAATTTCAAAAGTTGTATATTTTCCTTTTTATTCTTTTTTGAGAAAGGTAAAATGAGAGTTTATTTTGGATCTAAAAATAGTCACTAGAGCAAACCCTTTTCTTCTTTCAATTGCTGTCCCAGAATGGGCTAAATTTCGGGCCCAATGATCCCAAAATGGCAACAATTCAGCTCCTGCCATTAACAATAGGGTGGGAAACTTCAGCATTATCGCAAAGCTCAACCCTACAGCACCAGCAGTTGAAAACCGCTTAACTTTTAAAAAATTCTCACCATCTCTCAATCTTCATAATTCATCCACCAAGTCCTCAAAAATAAAAACGAAACCCCCCAAGCCTCCCCACTCATTCCAATGTTTAAAAACATATCAATAGATCTCGAAAGTGATGCAAAATGATTCCATACTTTTTTTTCAATGAAATAACAATGTACAAGTACCGAAGATTTAGTTTTACATTTGTTTGTTAGGGGCTATAGTGATACTATTCATCTCTCCGATATACCTTGTTTGACGATGTCTGTTTCTGATATCCAGTATAATGGTTTGCTGGCTCCAGATGCTTTGCAAGAGCTTGAAGATGAATGAATTGAAGAACTTTGCGATAGATTTCCACCCTTGGGTTGTTGGTAGTAATGCATTAACTTCAGAACATAAGCATCATCATGCAAGTGGAACGGCGTACTGTGATACAGATGAAACAATCAGAAAAGATAAGTCTGCCATGGTAAAAATCAAAATTATAAAACAAAAAAGAAATGTTGTATGTTTTCCATGGTACAGTGAAATATACTTGCCTGTTAAAGTCAAGGTGCACCAGTTGCATATCCTCAGAAATCTCAATCTCAACAGTGGCATGTGGGCTAGTCTAATGGAGGAGAAAGTAAATTAGTTGAAATTAATAACAAACCTGAAAACAAATTCTCTCAATACATATACACAAACCAAAGCAGAAGGTTATTGTTTAAGAAAAGAAAGAATACAAGAACTTTATACCAGTTGCAAAGATAGAAATACTCATACTTGAACCAATATAAATGGCAAGGTAAATCCTTCTTTAGGAGCTGTATTATTCTTGGGGATCTGCTGGTTCCGTTTGATCATGTTCTGGAGACCTGCAATCTTTTTTATTTTTGCAGACATTTTAGGCATGGGATGTAGCTTATAAACCCACTTTGAAGAACAAATCACAATAAGAAAAGAGGAAAAAAATATCATTTATGCAATGTCGTAAATGGCTCATGACTCGTGTATAGTTCTGTTTTTTTCTCTCTCTAACACTAGAGCACAAGCAGGTCTTCTATAAATATCAAAATGTTGTCTGAAAGTAATAAAAAAAATGAAAAAAAAATTACTTGTTCTTCTAAATCTTTCAAATAAGCAGCTTTCCGTGAGACCCTTGTCATTAGTTGAACATGCATTGCCTGCAGGCATTAAAAAAACAGTCATGCTAATATGATTTGTAGAATAATCTTCCTCCTGTGAATTCATGTGTCCATGGTGACGTGTGAGTTCTATAAAAAATGTTGTTACATCAGAAGATTCTCAACCTTAAGTTCTTCAAAATCCTTTGTTTGTGTAGGAGAAAGTCCATTCCACCTGATTTCTTTCTTCTCCCTCGTAACAATATCCATTGCAATGAGTACATTTAATGCATCATACACCCGCCGCCGAACATTCTTCTCATGGAACTGAAAACCCCAAAATGCTCACTTGTTTTTGCAATACATTTAAGAGGCAAGCATCGGATGATTAAAGAATAAGAACTTAAAATTCATAGGAAAAATACCTCATCCGTAGATCCTGCTGTATGAGTCTGAGCGGTGGCGAACTCTTCTATAATTTCGTCTGCAACCTGAGAATCATAAACAACTCAACTCGTGAGATTCATGCTTGGTTCTAATAAAAAAGGATAACATCTTCTCTCAGCAAAGAAACAGGTAAGACTGCATATTCCGCTATTCTAGAGCACTATAACAATTTCTCAAGTGATATATTACTTGAAAGATGTAATTCCAATGTTAAGAATGCAACATGAAACCATATATATTCATGTTTATAAGAAAGCTATAGTGATCAAGTTACCATGTACTAGGAACATATAATTGTAGCCATATATATACAGCTTCTTACACTCAACAAAATTTTCATTTGAGTCGTTATATCACTCACATTCACATGACAAATCTCAAACCTACTCTGGCAATAAACTTGAACAGAAAACATATACTACCTAAACAAATAATAGTGCAAAAACATACCTCAGCATATGTGGTGCTCCCCTTACTTTCCAACTTCTTGCAAACTGAAAAAAGTAGTTCAAGTCAATCAAAACGAACATGGAATCCAAAGTAAGCCATCAGTTGTTCCAGCAGAAATTAATAGCGTACACAAATTGACCACTAAAACTAATTTGAGAGAAGCAAAATGTAACTTACCAAGATTTCTTATATTTCTCAAGGATGTATAAAGTATTTGAGATATATTTAAAAATTATCAAGTAAAATAGATCAAATTCAACTTAATATATAAAAATCACCAACCCATAACACTGAACTGGCGCAGGCCCCCACCAGGCATTCTTGATACCTTCTTCTTCGGTGTACTGGTCATGTAGAAGGAAAATCAACCAAAAATAAATTGAATATCACTTACTGGCTGAAGTGTTACATATATAGTTACTAAAACAGATATAAGAAAAACTGATTAAAGCGAGAGCAAAGCAATAAAAATAATCAAAATGTCAAATGTAAATCACCCGTCACCAAGACCAGCAGAGGCATTCTTTTGCTTGACTGCTGATTGATTCATCCTATGAGAAGTTGAAGCATTTGTTGGAGTAGCAACCGGACTCATCTCACCATAAGGACTATCTTCCAAATGTGGGTCGTCCATCATATTCACTCACTAATTGTTACTACAAAACAAAGCTAACCCAAAATTATCAAAGCAAATTATAATCAATTAACGCAAGAATTCACTAAAAACAACGACTTTGAGGTAACGCTGATTGTAATATTTCAGAATACAATGCCGACATTTTTAACTCGGTCTATGACTATATGCAAATGATGGAACTTTGTACAACTTTTAGATTTTCTAGATTAACATCAAGCAGAATCTGTGAAATTAAAATTACCCATATAATATTTATTCACATTACTTCAACATAAAAAAGAACCCCTAACAATAAATTTTAATTCAAGAATTAAAGGAAAACCTAAATAACAAAAGATACGGACCTGAGGAGTAATCAGTGAATGAAGATTAAAGGCAGAGAAAAACCCTAAAAAAATGAAATATGAAGCTTTTCAAAGGAACAGAAACGAATCGTGTTCCCGCTAAATGTTATTTTTTTTCCCATGAATAGATCTGCCGTCGAGCAAACGACTTTCAAAATTTCTAAATTACCCCTTACTTTTATTTGAGTTTACCAATTAGTCCATGGCAGGACCACGTGTCACAAATTGGTTAAATTGTGAAATCGGCTTTCTTGTTGGGTATATACCTCATTTTATTCACATTTCTCACAAGTTATTGTATTTAATAAATTAACAATCTCCAATAAGACAATGAAATGTATTGTATCCTTATTGACTAATCAAGATTAAGTCAAAATTTCGTGTATTATCTCACATGAAATCGTATATTGAATGATGATCTCAAGACATTATGCATTTCATGAAAAAAAATATACTATTTACACTGTTTTGATCTGAAATTTTCAGGATCAAGAAGTTGTACCAAAAGTTTCTCAAGCCTCTTTGAACTTACAGTAGGTTTAACAGCATTTGGATTCCCCCATAAACAACACAAGGATCTTTACCCGGAACCGAACCACCTACACACCACCCCCGGGGTAAACTGACCATTCGATATTTTTTCAACAGCTCCTTGCCGATCATATCGAGGGTCGAATCATCATCCTCGGCGAATTTCCGAGCAAAAGGCGCTCCGCTACGAACCATGTCGTTGAAATGTTCCAATGTCGGTGTCATTGGATGGTGCTTTGGAGGATTATCCCATCTTATAAAATGCAAGTCATGATTTATAGTTGTGTTCTGTTAGTCTTTATGATTGCAGACCACGGTGTGGAAGTAGCCTTCCTGAGATTACGGGAAGTTCGTGTAGTACATAAGGAGTGTGCGAGGAAGATTATCCCATCCCCAAACGCAGAATTCGAGAAACGACTTTGTCAGCACCACCCATTCAGATCCTAGATATATATATAAATTTTCAGGATATAGCATGGGGTAAAGATTCATGCATACACTAGATATGCTATTTCCACTTCCAGATACAAGATACTTCCAACGCACAGCAATCAAATTTTCGATTGATCGACTATAATGAATAGCTAAACAGAACTTAAAACCATGATTTACTTCCACCAGAAGCTTATGGATCAGTATGCAATGTCGAGGAAGGATCCCAAAACAGTCTAAAGAGCATGTCTAACTAGCAGTTCCAAAACTATTCCACACTTTTTCCTTGTTATATTAAGATGGCCTAATGAGAGCCAGATACCAATCTTCAACGGCAAAACTAAAATCTGGAATCTCAATCTTTTCTGTAATAATCATTCATTTACCATATCTATGTCTGCTTAAATCGAATGAAAACCATATGCAACAGCCTTCAGCAGGCTTCTCTAGACTCATCTAATAAGTGTCAACTTATTCGAGAGTTTTCTAACAAATAATTTAGAGAAAACGATAAGATATACAAAAGCGTTACCCATGAATAACTTGAACGAAGCAGGCAATGATCCTTTCTCCTTAGCCCAAAAGACACCGGATTTCTTCGAATGATATAAGCCTGGGTCTATAATGATTGGTCTTGCTCTTTGGTATCTGCAAACATGAAACAAAGTCAAATTCAAAGAACGCTAGATAGACGACCTCACCATATATAAAGTGGGACAACATAAATTGGCTTCTCACTCTTTCCAGCCAATGCTACTCGTGTGCTCGAGGAAGTTGAGATCCCTAGGCAAGTATGAAAAGATGTGCACAATATATGAAACAAAAAACAAAAAGCAATCAGCAGCAGGACTACTGGAACGTGACTAGGCCTATCAAATTCTCAATTTGTTATAATTTTTCTCCAAGAGAGTGCAAAATCAAGAGTTGCTGCAAATTCAATTGCAGATGGAAATTATTGCTAATTCACAGTAGGAGACAACCTGGGATTATGCAGTTAATTGCCCAGTTCAATCAATGGCAAAGCAGTCGATGGTGCAGCCAAGTTAAAGCACATAAATCAAAGGTGAACCAAGCTTGAACTTGGTCATAGATATACTATATGCAATAGCTTTCGCCTTTTCGACAACCGTTCCAGGCAAACATTATCGCCAAATATATACTATAACAGTGTCTGTACATCCCAAGTCACCAACTGTTATCACTATAATTATAAATACACACAAAAGATACTAAGTGCACCATGGTTCCATGCTCTATCACCATCAACCATTGCTAAAGTTCCATCAACAACATCAAAATCCTACTTATTATATAAATATCATATTTTGCTCTCATTTCAGTTCATTCAATTCCGAATTATGGATCCGGAGCTCAACTGAATTGACTCTAACATCAGCGCGTCCGAGTTTCAAATCCCAATATATGCATTTCCCTACGTATAAATCCAAATTACCTATAATTCAATCATAAAAATTTCATCTAATGGCCGCAAAGGCGCAAAATCTCAACAACCTAACATTTTCAAATTCGGAATATAACAAAAATCAATTCTTACTTCTTACCATCTTGATTCATGAGGGGATAATCAGATGCGCTAAGGTTGACGAACCAGTCCCAATCCTTAGCTTCCTTCAACAAAATCGCCACTGCGTGAAGCGTGCTAGCAATGACAGTAGGCCCTTTATAAGTCACCAAATTAGCCTTTCCATTCACCATCACATTCCCAAACTCCCTAATCACCCTCTCCGATTTCACATACTTAGCCAAATCTAACCGCTCCGAATCCGAAGCTTCTAGATCGATATGGAGCAAATAGTAATTTCTGGGATGATAAACCGCCTGCAACAACCTCTTGAGGCGTGGCACATCCCCTTTCGTCCCCGATATCAAGTAAGCAAATCTGGGTAACTTGTTGTAATCCCGTTCGGAGAAGGTGAATTTGGGGCTGTGAAAAGAGAAATGGGACTCGGAAGAAGTGGATTTAGTTTGGGTAGAAGTTAATGAGAGGAGAAAAGTAAGTGAAATGATTGAGATTATGAGAACTGGCAACAAAAGCCATGATCGATCTGCAGAACAAGGAAAGTGAGCTCTTTTCATTAATTGAAATTTCTTTTCGGACAGAGTTAAATTTTAGGATGGAAGCTAATTTGACAAAGTTGAAAAAGAAAGGTGTTGGATTCGGTGTCGGCGCCAGTGGTTCTGTTAAAGGGAAAGGTACTTTGCTGTCTGGAGAGGGAAATAATCCCCCATTGGAATTTAATTTAGGGTAAAGTATAATAATGGTCACTGAATATTTCTAAAGCTTACATTTAGGTCCTCTAACTTTTAAAATTTGTAATACAGTCCCCCAACACTTATTCCGTTTGCAATATGGTCTCTCAACTTAAACCACCATTAGAAAATTAGGGTAAATTATATAAATGGTCATTAAACTTTTTAGACACTTGAATTTAGGTCCCTCAACTTTTAAAACTTACAAAACAGTCCTCAATTTCATTCTAAACCCCAAATTCCAAAGTAATTCAATTTTATTCTAAATAGTAAATTCATGTTCAAAATTCCAAAGTAATTCAATTTCATTCTAAACCCTAAATTTCAAAATAATTCAATTACATTCTAAACCTTAAATTGAAGTATTTTAAAATTTGGGGTTTAGAATTTAATTGAATTATTTTGGAATTTAGGGTTTAGAATGAAATTGAGGACTGTTTTGTAAGTTTTAAAAGTTGGGGGTTCTAAATTCAAGTGCCTTAAAAGTTCAATGACCATTTATATAATTTACCCTAATTTTCTAACTGTGGTTTAAGTTGGGGACCATATTGCAAACGGAATAAATGTTGGGGGACTGTATTGCAAGTTTTAAAAGTTGAGAGACTTAAATGCAAACTTTAGAAATATTCAACGACCATTACTATACTTTACCCTTTAATTTAAAATTTTTAAGGTAACTTTTTTACTTTGGGTCTTGCTCTATTCTAATTGTTCTTATTATGTTTCAAAAATAAACATTTTATTCAAATTTAAATAAATACCAATTATAATTTGTGTTAATTGATTCGTACTTGTAATCAATCAAATTAAAAGAATAATTCGATTTGTCATTATTCAACACAAATGTTATTTAATAGATGATTAAGGAATTAGTATTTTGTTTCACTAATCATTAATCAATTTATCAAACCAAATTTAGTTGTGTCCCATAGCATGAATTGGAAGTTATGTAACGAGTGTATGCATCTGACAATTAATTTATAAACCAATTTCTAAGCAATCCATGCTGTGAAGGCAATTAGATTTGAAGCATACCAAAACACAGGCAACTGAGATCAAAACTAAGATTTGAACCACAACAAAAATTACAAGATGCTTAAAACCATAAAACTCTCTTCGGATTGTGTAACCGAAGATAGAGCAACAAACCCCAAATGTTCATTTGAATCCGATTAGAAAACAACAGAAGGAAACTTAAAACCAACAACTAAGACACGGGAACAGCAGATAAGCAGATAAAAGATAACGAACAAGATTCTTAGTCAACTTCCTCAATCTTAGGGCCAGCACCGCTTCCGCCAGCTGGGACATCATCATCCATGCCGCCACCCATGTCACCGCCAGCACCCTGGTACATCTTAGCAATGATGGGGTTGCAGATGCTCTCCAACTCCTTCATCTTGTCATCAAATTCATCAGCCTCAGCGAGTTGGTTGCTGTCCAGCCATTGGATGGCTTGCTCAATTGCATCTTCAATCTTCTTCTTATCTTCTGCAGAAAGCTTGGCACCAATCTTCTCATCCTTCACTGTGTTCCTCATGTTGTATGCATAGTTTTCTAATGCATTCTTTGACTCGACCTTCTTCTTGTGCTCTTCATCCTCCGATTTGTACTTCTCCGCCTCCTCAACCATCTTCTCAATTTCCTCCTTTGAGAGTCTACCCTTGTCATTGGTAATGGTGATTTTGTTCTTTTGTCCAGTGGTTTTGTCCTCTGCAGACACATTCAAGATACCATTGGCATCGATGTCAAAGCACACTGTGATCTGTGGAACACCCCTGGGTGCTGGGGGGATGCCAGAGAGCTCAAATTTGCCAAGCAAGTTGTTGTCTCTGGTCCTTGTTCTCTCACCTTCATAGACCTGGATCAACACACCAGGCTGATTGTCGGAGTAGGTAGAGAAGACTTGTTCTTTCTTGGTCGGGATGGTGGTGTTCCTAGGAATCAAAACAGTCATCACACCACCAGCAGTTTCCAAACCGAGAGACAATGGGGTGACATCCAAGAGCAAGAGATCCTGCACCTTCTCATTGCCCTCACCACTCAATATGGCAGCTTGGACAGCAGCACCATAGGCAACAGCCTCATCAGGGTTGATGCTCTTGCAGAGCTCCTTTCCATTGAAGAAATCCTGCAAAAGCTGTTGGACCTTTGGAATTCTAGTGGAACCACCAACAAGTACAACATCATGGATGGTGCTCTTGTCCATCTTGGCATCCCTCAAACATTTCTCAACTGGTTCCATACACTTCCTGAATAGGTCCATGTTAAGTTCCTCGAATCTAGCACGGGTAATGGTTGAGTAGAAGTCGATACCCTCGTACAAGGAATCAATCTCAATAGTGGTCTGGGCAGTGGATGACAGCGTTCTCTTTGCCCTCTCACAAGAAGTCCTCAATCTGCGAAGAGCTCTGGGGTTACCACTAATGTCCTTCTTGTTCTTTCTCTTAAACTCCTGGACAAAGTGGTTCACCATTCTATTATCAAAATCTTCACCTCCAAGGTGAGTGTCCCCAGCAGTGGCTTTCACTTCAAAGATACCCTCTTCAATGGTTAGAAGAGAGACATCAAAAGTACCACCACCAAGATCAAAGATCAAGACATTCTTTTCACCGACACTGGTAGCTTTCTTGTCAAGGCCATAAGCAATGGCAGCAGCCGTGGGTTCATTGATAATACGCATGACATTAAGACCAGCAATGACACCAGCATCCTTTGTTGCTTGACGCTGCGAGTCATTGAAGTAAGCAGGGACAGTAACCACAGCATTCTTAATTGTAGACCCAAGGTAAGCCTCGGCAATTTCACGCATCTTTATAAGTACCATTGAAGAGATCTCTTCAGCGGCAAATTGCTTCTCTTCACCCTTGTAAGTAACAACAATCATCGGCTTGTCACCAGGTCCAGCAATGACCTTGAATGGCCACAGTTTCATATCACCTTGAACAGATGCATCACTGAATCTACGTCCAATCAATCTCTTTGCATCTGCAAAGCCAAAAAACACATTAATTCACCGAAATCAAATTCAAATGATAATAAAACTACAGAAAATATTAACCAGGAAAGCTCAATCATAGATAAGTACGAATATTAATCCAACCGAAGTAACTAAGTTCAACAGATGCAGATCCAAAATATATAGTAAACAAATCGATCATTGAGTAATGCTGACCAAAGTCGGCAGATCTAAACTGGCTATAAATAAAATGAAAACTATACTACAACTAACATAATGAGAAGTCGAAGTCACAATCAATAAATTATTCATCAACATCATGGTTATCCAAAAAGAAAGATCTTCAGATCTAAACAAAAATCTAGGCTCAAGCTACAGCAGATCTTAGCAATCTTATCTCGTAGAGTTCAGATCTATATCCTTTCACTTCAATAAACGAACCTACCTTAGCATAGGTCCAACTAAAACTAAACAGGGATCGAACCAGAATACAAGATCTAAACAAAGAGCTGAACAAAATTGAATCTTACTAACTATAATAACAGAAAAAAGATAACTAAGTCAAAGATTACCAAAGACGGTGTTGATGGGGTTCATGGCGACCTGGTTCTTAGCTGCATCACCGATCAAACGCTCACTGTCGGTAAAACCGACATAAGACGGCGTCGTTCTGTTACCTTGATCGTTGGCGATGATCTCAACACGATCATGTTGCCAAACACCAACGCAAGAATAAGTGGTTCCGAGATCGATTCCGATGGCTGGACCTTCTCCTTTACCGGCCATTACTTTCTACTTATTGTTGTGTCGACGAAAAGAATATGAGAAGAATAAAAGAGAAAACAGTAAACTAAAACGAACTACAGAGGAGAAACAGCTACTAACAGCTAGGGTTTCAAGATGCAGAGCAAGGAGGAAATGAGTTGCATTATAAAGAGGTAATCAATATTCGAGAATGTTCTGATCCCTGGACTCTAGGAACCGTCCGATCATGGAAATTATTTTAACGGTCCCAGATTTTAGGTAAGAAAAGGCAAAGTTTCTTACGGCTGTTTCCCATTGGACCGTCACCGTCCCGGAAGATTCTATGGAAATGTAAATAAAAGAAAAATGTGTTAAGCAATGAATTTTCTCAAGATTGCGTTAATTTATTATCCTATAATCTTGTTTTAGATACTCAAATTAAATTGGATACGTAACCTACATTCGTAGATAATTTTCTCAATGTTTGATTCTGATTTACATTTATCATTAGTTTTTTAGTAGTCATATCCCCTGTTGTGGTTCATTTTTACCATAACAATCACATATGTTTATTCTTATTTATCGTTCGAATTTTTTTTTGGATGTGTTCTTCACCTTTTCATTGTATGATCTATATATTATCTTAACTGACTAATTTCTTGTGTTAATAGTTATAGGAAAATATCATAATTATGTGCTTAGTATACAAATCTATTTGTAGTCATTATTTGAATTTTTTGATGTTTTTTCTTTCTTAATAAAATTAGCCACTTTTATCTATTAAAAAAGGACATTGTACAAGTTGTGAAACCTAAAATGGAAATTGCAAAGAAAATGCTGGATTATTTGAAAATATGCAAATTTAGTCTCTAAGTTTAATTGTTTTTTCAATTTCATGTCTGATTTTTTTAAATTTACGTTAATCTTTGAACTTAACTTTTTCAATTTAATCATGAATTTAAATTGTTAGACATTTTAGATGCCATTACATAATCCTAGAGGAACATGTCATCAAAAAGAACTAAAATTACAAATTTATAGACTAAATTGGAAAATTAATAAATATCAAGACCAATACAGACAAAAAATGTTTACCGACCAATTTGAGAGAAATTATCAAATATAAGGACTAAATGTTGTCTATCTCCTAAGAAAAATGGCTGACAACACAAACCAATAAGAACATTTTTAGTAATGGTATGATGTGGGCAAAACATTTAGACTCTAACCATCAATGATCCCATAATTGTTTCGGTCCAAAGTGAATTTAGGTACTTTAGTAGACAAAAAAAACTTTATAAATTTAAATGATGATGGAAGGAACAATTAACTAGGGAAGGTGGAGCAGAGGCAGCAACGGCAGCACCGCCGGTTTCGGCCAAGAATGTGTAGGACCAAACCATTTCTTGCATAAGATTAGCCGGGACGTATGTCCCTAATCAAACAATAATGCTTCTCCAACTCCTTTGTTGACTCTATCATCTGACCGTATCATATGTTATCGTCGAGGGTTGATGACTACTTATCAATATGCATTACTTGAACAAGAAGCACTTGAAAACACACAACATTCCTGATTGAAGATGGGCGGTGGCATCTTAACCACTGTAGGGGTTCCAACCTACGACTCTCGGCCTCTCCCCGGACCCCTTTACAACGGAGGCCAACCTGCATGATTGCAGTTTGAATCTAGTCTCGTGCAATAAAGCTCATTTCTGGGGTCAATAATCCCCTTAAGAAAACACCAGAGAAAGGAAGATTAGCAGCTTCATACGTGAATAGAAAACAAAGTGAACTCTAATAAGACCGTATTTATTCGAATTGGTGAAGGAAACTCATACAGAACTGTAACAGCATCTGAATTCTGTTATAGAAAAGCCTCAATGTTATCATTACATGTATAGATTGTCACAGACTACTTGGCACTACAGACAGAAAATGATTAAAAAGAAAAATAAGTAAAGGTAAAGCATTGAATTTACAGTCACTCTTTGGTCCATGTGATGCTACTTCTTCATTGCAACAACAATCCAGAATCCGCCCATAAGGCCTTTTAGCTGCTCCATCTTCTTTCCATAGCTTAAAAAGCCTAAACCGCTAACGATCTATAAATGACTTATTCATGAGGTTGACGGCATCGTCCATGAACTGCAATAACAGTAGCAAGTAACCGAGTGAATCATGAAATATTATCAGATGCACATACTTTACATCTATAGCCTTTTTGTTTTTTTGGGGTAACAGTAATAGAAGCCTGAATCATATAAAGTACTTCACTAAACAATGCCTTTTAAACCGATCATTCTAGGGTGCTCTAGACCCATGTTACTCGGACTTCATTCTTCTTCAAGTGCCTGTGCCTGACGCTAGTGTGGAACACACGGATTCAAGTATATGACCTCCCAAAGATCCTCTATATACATAGAGAAACTTAGAAAAATCTAACCATACATGTGGTGGATACATGCTCGCATCCGAGATTCACATATAATTCCAAATAACACGTTTGAACTGCCTTAAAATGCCACAGCATGACAAATTGGAATAGTCCCATTTCCAACTGCCAGGCCTCGATGTTAAAAACAAAAGCTATATGAATGTCTTGGGCCTATTGGCTACAAAAGAAATAGGTTTTCTATTTCATCACACAAACATCTCCATCTCAACACTTTAAAGCTTTTCTAAATTATTTATATCAATTAATTTCAAATTGCAAATAAATCTTTACATGAAAAAATGGCCATTAACACCAAAAGTTCCTTATTGTGGATGCAAGCTACATGATAAGTGGATTATTCCATGAATGCTAGCAAAAGGAGAGCACAACAAATTTTTTACCTTTCCAAGCAACTTTAGTTCTTTACCGACAGGTTCCAAAAATTTCGTGTTAACTTCAATCGGCCACACCTATCAATGAACATATTTTGTTTAACATAACAAAGGTTAATCAAATGGTTACATTAAAGATAGATAAATCTAGGGTGACCTAGCCGCTATATGATCCAAAGTTAACTAGAAAGAGGAAAAGGACAATGAAACAAAGGTTGTAAACACAACATAAAAACATGCCACAAGTTTGTGGTGCTAAAATCGAATGCAACAGCCAACTAGACGTCTTCAACCGGTCTACCGGCATACCCGATATAAATCCTTTCGTGGTAGAAGATTACTTTTGGAGTAAATAAGCTCAAAATTCCTCAACCGTTTCATATCAAAACCCCTAACAAGAAGGATTCCCTTTAATTGTACTTAAGCAACTAATACTAATTGTCATAGATTATGATAATAAATTGATCAGAAGCCACCTTTTGCATAAATTATCCCCAAAAAAGGGGGGAAATAAATCATATTTCTTTGCCAAAGGAATGAAAAATACCTTAAGACCAAATATTCTAATAGGTACAATCTGGCCTGGGACAATGCATTCGGGTCCAGCAGCTTCCACAATGGCCTCTGTCGCTAACCCACTTCCTAGCGGATCCGAGTGCTGCAAAAATCAAAAAAAAAAATCTCATTTCTTTTTCAAAAAAAAATAAAGAAAGAAAACACGATTGATTATAAAAGCGATGACCTTCATGACGGCGATGGCATAATTGGAATTAGGTGTTTGACGTAGACGAAGAATAGGGGAATGGTGGATTCTGGGAATAGGTTTTCCAGCAGAGACTCGCCATGGAACATCCTTCTGCAACGAAGCTCCTCCTTTCTTCGACATGGTTTTTGTTTTTTTAAGAATTGAATCGATATAAACTCTGGGTTTTGGTCGAGATCTTGATAGGAATTAAGATAGTTGATAAGAAATGAATGGAAATCAGTAAATTAGAGAAGCTGTGGAAAGTGTGGATAGATTTCTTCTCACCGGGTTTTTGAACTGTGGCTTATCGAAGCTGCTTCTGGATTTATTTTGTGGATATGAATACGATATTTTGTGGGCCAATGTATTTTAGTGTATGGGCTTCAAATTTCATCAATATTTTGTATATATCTATTAAAAATATTTCCGGACAAATAGGCATTTTAATTTATATCTATTGAAATATAGTATAGTCTACTATTTATTTATATATGTCATATCAATCAAAATTGAAAATAAAAATTTAATGACTAAAATAGTTTTGTTATATTTTTAAAATTTTAAATTTATGTATAAATTAAGTTATTTCAGTGTTAAAGAAATAGTTATTATGTTAAAGGTTTTTGATTCGAACATCAACGATTGACAAGATATGTATGTATTCATTGTCAAACGATTAATAGTTTTTAAAACATATATTTCTACTCGTAATCATTCTAGATTAATAAAAAAATTATAAATTTATGGTCAACAAAAGACAACTTATTACGAAACTTAGTTTGGAATTAACATATATTATTTTTTATTAAATAATTAGATTAGTTAATTTGAAATTCGCACGAACCAACTTATCTAAGTGGTTAAAAGAATCATTGATATTCTTAGAGGTTACGAGTTTAAGCACCAACAATAGCAAGAGTGATCGAACGTTCATTGATAAATGGTTGAAAGCATTTAGAACGTATACTACTTATAATCACCTTTATTTTATTGGATAATTTTCAGTTTTATTACCCAAATAGCAAATTGCTACAGTAACATGTTACAAGATACATAATTTGGAAACAGAGAACAACCTACGTACAAAATAATCAAGGAGCACAAATATCCTAATTCCTAGCAAGAGTAATATTGACATTATCATTACTATTGAAGTTCCTATTCCTTAAGTGCAGGCCTACTATATCTCTAATGGTTTGTAACAGTTCTTGAGCAGTCTTCATTATGCTCCTTTTTTCATGTAATTGTAATCATTAATGTCTCGTATAATCTCGTGTTTGGAAATGTCGAACGAAGATGATAAATAAAAAGATTTTAAGAGGAAAAATAACAATGTAAGCTTACTATGTACATTTGCAATGGGAATGTCAGGTTATAGTTTCGATAAACCAACCAAACCGATGCATGTTCATATCCAGCATGTCTGATTTTTTTTTTTTTTTTTGTAAAGAAGAAGAAAAATATAAGTTGTTCCTCAAAATCATTTAATCTGCAACATATTACTAACAAATTCCAGACATTTTAAATTGAAATCGTCGCCGCTCCGTCTGGGGTTATCGTGGATGATGGAATTCAGACCAAAAATATATAAAAATCTGAAAAGAAAAGAAGCATAGCATCAAAATTGAGATGGGAACAGCAGAAGATCCCTTAAAGGATTGATCAGTTAGAGCGCAATGGTTTAGTTATTAGCCGCCGCTTCCTCCAGCTTCTTCCATGTCATTTCTCGCTGCTCTTCCGCCTCTCCGGCCATGGCCGCTTTCTCTGGAAGCCGTGTCTGGCACTCGTCGACTAACCGAGGGTCCATCTCCACGAACATCTTCCGCACATTCAAGGTCAACCCGTTAACTTCGGGATTCCAATGACTTTGGATATTCTTCTCCAACGCCTCCAACACAATCGGTAATACCACTTGCCGGTTCTGGGAGATTAATCCCACGATGTGGTCACTGTTCCAGAAGAAAAGGGCTCTTTCGGCGACCTGCAACACAAAGAATGGTCTTGGATCGACATGTACGAAAGAGAAAAAAAAGCCTTAAATTAATTAATTTACCTGGAAATGAGGGCTATTTACACAACGTGCAATCCGTCGAAAAAGAGGAATCATGCAACGCTGGAACTCGGGGAACTGCATCGCTTCGAGGACTTCATCGAGCTCACCGAGAAAGAGAACTTCCTTTTGACAATTAACCACTGGCCAATTCCTCAACAACCCTTTAACAACCAAATCAGCCAGCTTATAATCCTTATCAACAAACTGAACGACACAATAAGATAACTGCTGATGATACAGAGAGAGCTGTTTCAGTTTATGCAAAGGAATCAGTGTTCTCACTAGGAACAGCTTGTGTTCTTCTTTTATAGGCACGGAGAAGCCATTGATGATACTTCCTAGAATCTCTAAGAGCTCTCCGACGCCGCTGTGCCTCTGGGATTCGTATATAAACCTATAGAATATATTGTTTATGCCTTTCCTAATGCATGGACGATGCACCACGAATTTACCATAAATCCTATGGAGAACCGTTTTTATATACTCTCTTTCCCTGGAATCTTCAGAATCAAACAAATCAATGAGCTTTAAAACGAAGGTGTGATCGATGTATCGCTTGGCAACCTTGGTTTCTGTATCTGAGGAAACCACGTACCTCAAGAGAAGCTCGTAGACAATCTGTAGATGCTGCCACGCGGGTTCCGAATAGTCTCCCTCTTCTTCGGGATCTCCGCCTTCCTGTGCGGTGGTCTCGTGGGCCGCCGGCGGGAGGGGTCTGAAGATGTTGATTCCCACCATCCTGATCATCTCCCCCAGGAAGGCCTCCGTGATCTTGCACATGCCGGTTTGGATGAAATCGACGAGCTCCAACAAGGTTTGCCGCTTGATCTCTTTCTGTCGCGCCGATTTCAAGGGGTCTGTGAAATCGAACTGAAAGCAACAGATCTGTAATTTCTTCAGGAATAAAGTCTGTCTCTCAGATTTCGAGACGTCTTTGAATGAGGGCAACGGTTCTACGGTGGCCATCGGAGGCAAGTGTTGTAAAGCATCACGGGGACTTGGTAATTGACCCGATCCGAATGCACCTGGTCCGTTTACAAATGCATCCGGTATGTCCGATTTGGAACGCTTCCGCTGCCCTCCTTTCCTAAAATTCTTGAACATTTTGGATCAGAATTAAATTAAAGGGTCCGATTGATTAAGCGAAATACAGATTAGTAATTCGACGATGGTGATTTTTGAGGTTTCAGTGGAATTGATTTCATGAAATCATTCTTCGTTCATGGATTGTAAATCTGTTAAGAATCATCTGAAATCCGATCAACGAATCAAACGACGGTGACGGTGACGGTTCGACCATTCGAACGAACCGTAAAGGAAGGAGAGAGGGAGAGGAGAGTGACAAAAAAATTAATATTAAAATATAATTATATCACAAATAATTTTTCAAATAATAATTAATAAATTTTGTTTGTTTGTTTTGACGTTGTCTTTTCTACACGTTTGCTTAGAGCTAAGAATCGGCAAAATCCGGAGCCCGCGACCGGGAATTCCACGTGGAAGTGAAAGGGGGCATCGGAGAACTTTTTAAGTTCAATCAATTTATATTTGGATTAATTGCCTCAAACGTCCTTAGATTACTATTAAATTTTTAATATTTTTAAAAATCATTCGGATATTTTTAACTAGACCCTCTTAATTAATTTTGGAAAAGATTCATTACGTCTCATAGAATTTTAGAAAGGTTTATTTAGACTCAATATTTTTAAATTTTTATTAAACCCTTGAATTTTATATTATTTTTAAGATAAAATTTATGTATTAAATTTAAATAAACAACTAGCTACTACAATCAATATAAAAATAAACGAATTAGATGACTCAAACACCGTACTCCTCTTGTCCTACACATTTGTGGGTTAGCCTCCTTAATGATCAAGAGAATCTCAATCTCTTTCCTAGGTACAAAATCAAAACATCTCCTATTTTATTCATCCCAAATATGATATATACACGCTTTTCAAGCACCTTTTAAGAGCAAGGTGGCAAATGACTCATCTTGCAAATGAGTTGCTGCCCAATCCATTTCTCAGCTCCAATTCCACGCTATTCTTGAATACCACAGCAAGCGAGAATTGATGTCCACACAACCTCTGAGAAGGGGCACGCAGAGAACAAATGGTTCATCGATTCCACCTCCACCCTGCACACAACACAAACCTCATCTACAACAATCCCTTTGCACAACAAACTATTCTTAGTTGTCAAACGATCCAAAATGATCATCCACGATACAATGGCAAAATAGGGAACATGAAACGGAAATCATTTTCTCCTTCCTCACCCTTGTCTCATATCAAATTCTGCGCACCTGGAATTGCTGCAAATCAGGCATTGACAGCAAAAATAGCCCCCGCTGCTGACCGTCATGACAAAATCTTTCTTAAGCTCCAACTATAGCTTTCTCCCGGATCAAAACTCCAAATAAACGCACCTTTAACAGCATAGAAACGGACCCACACCCACATTGAGCCCTCATTTGTCAGCAACTTCCTAAGCAAGAGGAAAATATATGCTCGAATTTTACATCAAGTTCTTTAAAAGTTTTGAAAATTTTATTAAACCCCTGAAAATTTAGAAATTTTCATTAAGGTCCAAATGTTTTCAATATTTTTAGTTAGTCTCTCTTAATTTATTTTTGGAAAATTTTCATCATGCCTCCTAAAATTTTAAAAAGGTTAATTAGACCCTTATCTTTTCAATTCTTATTGAACCCTTAATTTTTTTTAAAAAAAATCCAATTATATCTCCATTTTTAAAAAAAATTAAACCGTAAGTTATTTACCAATCACTAGCAATACAAATTCTTAAAGTGGCGAAAATACTTGATTAATATGATGGTAATACTTTATGAACTTTAAACATTTTGAAGTTTAAAAATCTAATTTAAAATCTAAACTATAATTCGAAGACGTATTTAGTAACTAACCCACTTTTATTATATCACAAAGAAATTAAAAAAAACATATAAATTCAATAAACAAAAAAGTTCAACGTTTAATTAAAATGAAAATTAAAAACAACACACTAAAAAACCAGATGATTTCCATTTCTTTCCACTTCTCTCTATATTTTCCCAAGCTGTTATTTAAGTTCATCATAAAAGCTAGCTAGTTCCAACATTCTGGTGTCAGGGAATGGTTCCTCTTGGGGTCCTTGCAGTAGTCATAAACCATATGGTATCTTTGAACTCATCTCATTGCTCTACATTGATGTCCGGTTAGCCTGCCAGACCGAAAAGGGGAAATCGATATCGGCCGACACATAGGTGAAGAGTAAGCGGAGCAACCACCGGCTTTGAAACCGGTGAACTTTGCAACAAAGGGTTGGTAATCGTAATCAGCCTTGTATTTGCCATCTTCTGTGGCCCGTGAAGAGGCATCCCATATTGAACCATATAGCCACATTGGCCTTAGAGGAAATGTTTCAGCACCCTTCCTTGGGTATCTTCTTATGGGCACATCATCCACTAGGAATCTAATCCACAAATTTCATATTAATCAATAATCAACATATATTTTAATTATATACAAATGTTAAAATCAAATAATATCACATTATAAGAGAATCGAGTTAAATTTTACAATCATTGTCGGTGTTTTTTTTCTTGATATTACCTTTTATATATATAAAAAAAAACCTACATTTATGCATATATATAGATATATAATTGTCACGTAGAATGTTGTAATGACCCCTGCAGTTAGGGGTCGGAATAAGCCAGGCTTTAATAGGCCTGGGCCTGGCCTACAATGATTTTTGTAGGCCTGAGCTTGGCCTGTGGCCTGTCAAAGGCTTTTATTTAGGCCTGACTTGACCTGACCTGTTTAAAAGCTTTGCCTGTTTAAAAGCCTATTTAAAAGCATGTTTAACAACCTGTTTAAAAGCCTGTTTAAAAACCTGTTTAACAATAAACATTTAATATTTTCAGTTTAGTTATTAATTTTAGAGTAAAATCCCAATTAAACCACTCTAACTTAGTACATTTTACAAAATAGTCATACTAAATACTAATAGGCCGGCCTATCAGGCTTATAAGGCTTTTTAATAGGCCTAAGCCTGATCTGTTTAATTAAATAAATTTTTAAAAAGGCATGACCTGATCTTTTTATTAAATAGGCCAGGCCAAGTCAGGTTTTATACAGACCAGGCCGTAGGCCTTGTAGGCCGGTCGGGCCTATTCCGACCTCTATCTGCAGTATAGCCAGGATGAACTTTAATAGAAGCTCCAAAATAACCCGAACGAAATGGTCGATTTGACTTGAACCCACTTCCTACAACAACAAAAACTCGGCAATTAAACAAAGAAAAAGATTGGATTTCAATTTTCAACAATCAAACACGGTCAAATTATTGTTTTAGTCCCTTTATTATTTTTAAATTTAAAATTTAATCTCTAGACTCAATTTGACACTTTATTTTTCTAAATATTGTTAGTTAATCAAAGTAATTAACACCAATGTTGTACGACCGGATCAGTAATTGAGCTGGTCAGACTACTGACTCACTATTCGACTGGTTCAATAATGGTTAAATAAGAATAAGAAGAAGAACCTGAACTTCTGTCAAGCCAAATCATCGATGCATTTTGATCCACGCTCTGATGGTTAAAACCCCATAGATTTTTAAACGCATAATGGAAGCTCATCAGCCTAAACTCAGAGCTCGGCCAGTAGCCCGTGTCAATGGAAACGTTAGAACAAGAACTAAGAGAAACAAAGCCATTAAAGCTTTGAAAGAGTGAAAGAGAAACTGAACGAGGGGGTAAATTCAGAATGTTTTGGTGTGTATATATAGATGCTGGGGATGTGACTTAGAAAATTTTCGTATTCGTATTATTTATTTTATCGTATCATAATCGAGTTTTTGTGTTTGGGATTTTGTTTTGTGTTTTTGAATCTTCCAACAGCAAGATTTTGTTGGTCGTATAGTGATTCTCAGACAATCTTGTGAATGAGAATTTTGAGCAAATCTATAACCTCTTAAATGGAGTGGGACATCAGATATATTGCATGGGGACTTCAGCCTTCCGTTTGATTTTGAGTGTGGTTTCAATGAGTGTCGGAAAAAGTATTATCGGTTGAATTGACGTACAAGTCCCTGTATTCTATTTAAAATGTATTTTTATTTTCTTCTATTTTTAAAAATAGGTTTAGAGATTAGTTTACGTTATAAAAATGTTAAACCATAAACTCTAAACTCAAAATTTAAAAAAAACGACCCGATCGGGTCTTGGCCCACATTATATTAAAATTATTTATAGAGGGAGATAGTCCATTGCAGTAGCTTGCTACTGGGGCTCTTGTGCGTCGCCGAAGCGTTGTAGCATTGCTCGAGCCCAGCGCACCCAACCCAAATCAAGTTCAAGCAGTTTCTTTGAAAACAATACATTTGTAATACCACAAACACAATGCGCTATTAAGATCACAAAAATATGAACCCAGCACAGATTATTAAGTGCAACGAACAGTTTCTCTGATACAGAAAGCTAAAACATCGAACATGAAAAGCAAGCCATCACAACAATGAAATATTAGTGCAACGAACATTGACACAAGATACTCGAATCCAGATTAAAAATGGCTTTTTGCTAGGTTTAATAGTATGAGAGAGACAGAGACGTGATTTATAAATAAGTAATGTAAAAATCCATATTTGGATCCAGGTAAGAATTCTTTCTTATTCAACGTACTTGCTCAAATTCATGCAAGATTAAAATTGTTTTTCTTTCGAGAATATAACTACAATGTGATTTATAAATGAGAAATGACATGTTATTCGAGAAATTTAATAGTACTGAGTTGGTTAATATCTCAATGATAAGAAATATGTATACCATACTATTGGTGAAGATTGTTAAAAGCATGCACCGAAAGTGCATTTAGCAAGATTGAAAAAAAAAATGAAATTTTCAACAATGGTAGGCACCAAATATAAAATGTCAAAATTAGGTGCAACAATGGTTGAAAATTAAATGGGCAAATTACAAACTTTAGTCATTAAACTTTTAGGGTATTTTCAAGATTAGTCCTTAAAGCTTCTACTATAAATACCCTAGCTCATTTAGCTTTAAAACCATCCCAAAGCATTCTAGCTTTCTTCCAATACTAGAGAGATTTTAGAGAGTTTCTTTAGAGTTGTTTTCTCATTTTTTATCTAGAGAGAATTATCATTATTTTCTCCTTGGTAGATCGAGAGAGGTTGTAATTCCTATTTTCTCATAGTGAAATTCTTCTACCGTTGCCCGTGATTTTTACCCTAAATTTTTAGGGGTTTTCCACTTAAATTTTGTGTCTCTTTTATCTTCATTTTTATTTTCTCAAATTATCAGTTACGATTTTGCTCTATCCGATAGCCGTCTTCCGCAACAATTGGTATCAGAGCTAGATTAGAGTGTGTAATATCTGCTTATTGTCTTTGTGGTTGCCACCAAAAAGGTGGATCCTCCAACATAAGAAAGTAAGAAGTTATTACCCATTCTTTGAAGGTTCCAGAGAACTATTCACGATAGTGAAATAGTGGGAGCTATCCGTAAACGAAGCAATGGCAACGAAATTTGATATTGAAAAGTTCAATGTGAGAAATTTCTCATTGTAGAAATTGAAGATGAAGGCCATCCTGAGGAAAGACGGTTGTCTAGCAGCTATCAGCGAAAGGCCAGTAGATTTCACATATGACAACAAATGGATCGAAATGGATGAAAATGCTATGGCAAACTTTCATCTAGCATTAGCAGATGAAGTATTGTCAAGTATTGAGGAGAATAATACAGCTAAGGAGATATGGGATCATCTCACCAAATTGTACGAGGCCACATCGTTGCACAATAAAATTTTCCTTAAGAGAAAATTGTACACTCTCCGTATGCCAGAATCTACTTCAGTGACGAAGCACTTAAATACACTGAACACTTTATTTTCTCAGCTTACATCTTTAAGCTGTAAAATAGGAGAACAAGAACGTGTTGAACTTCTACTTCAAAGTCTACCGGATTCGTATGATCAACTCATCATCAACTTGACAAACAGTAATGTCACCAGTCTAGTCTTCGATGACGTTGCAGCTGCTGTTCTACAAGAAGAAAATTGGCGCAAGAACAAGCAAGACAGACAAGTAAATATGCAACAAGCAGAAGCGTTGACAACGATGAGAGGGAGATCAACAGAACGTGGCCAAAGTAGCAGTCACAAACATGGTAGATCGAAGTCGAGAAGCAAGAAGAATTTAAAGTGCTACAACTGTGGAAAGAAGTGTCATTTGAAGAAGGATTGTTGGAGTCTAAATAAAAACTCCAATCCACAAGGCAATACCGCAAACACTTCAGATGATGGAGATGCTCTATGCTGTGAAGCGTCAACCACCGTGGAAGGAAGAAAACGATTTGCAGATATATGGCTCATTGATTCGGGAGCAACATATCACATGAACTCAAGAAGAGAATGGTTTCATCATTATGAACCTGTCTCAGAAGGATCTGTTTATAGTTGCAATGATCATGCCTTAGAGATCGTTGGCGTGGGAACCATCAAATTGAAGATGTATGACGGAACAATTAAAGTTGTTCGAGATGTACGGCACGTGAAAGGCCTGAAGAAAAATTTATTATCCTACAGATTATTGGATAATAATGCAAGCAAGATTAAAACACGGAAAGGAATCATGAAGGTGTTCCGTGGAGCGCTTGTGGTGCTAAAAGGCGAAAAAATAGCTGCAAACTTGTACATGCTGAAGGGAGAGACTTTGGTAGAAGCAGAAGCCTCTGTTGCCTCATGTAGTTCAGATTCGGCAATGCTATGGCATCAGAAACTTGGACACATGTCAGAACAAGGAATGAAAGTTCTTGTAGAACAAAAGCTACTTCCAGGCTTAACAAAGGTATCACTTACTTTGTGTGAGCATTGCATAACAAGTAAGCAGCACCGGTTGAAATTCAACACGTCAAATTTTAGAGGCAAAAATGTTCTAGAATTAGTTCATTCTGACGTATGGCAAGCACCAGTTACATCCCTAGGTGGAGCAAAATACTTTGTCTCATTTATTGATGACTACTCTAGGAGATGTTGGGTGTATCCTATTAAGAAGAAGTCAGATGTGTTTTCAACTTTCAAAATATTCAAAGCGCGGGTGGAACTTGATTCTGGAAATAAGATCAAGTGTTTTAGAACAGATAATGGAGGAGAATACACAAGCGAAGAATTTGATGACTTTTGCAGGAAAGAAGGCATCAAAAGACAGTTCACAGTGGCAAACACTCCTCAACAAAATGGAGTGGCAGAGCGGATGAACAGAACCTTGTTAGAAAGAACAAGAGCAATGTTGAGGGATGCATGCCTAGAAAAATCATTCTGGGCAGAAGCAGTTAATACCGCCTGTTATTTGGAGAATCGAGCTCCATCAACTGCAATAGAGCTGAAGACACCAATGAAGATGTGGACTGGTAAACCAGCTGATTATTCAAACCTCCATATATTTGGAAGTATTGTGTACGTGATGTACAACTCCCAAGAAATCTCAAAGCTGGATCCAAAATCCAGGAAATGCAAATTCTTGGGGTATGCTGATGGAGTCAAGGGGTATCGCTTGTGGGATCCCACTGCCCGCAAAGTGATCATCAGCAGGGATGTTATCTTTGTAGAGGATAAACTACAAAGAAAAGAAGACGATGATAGCACTGAAAAGTCAGAGACTACACAGATAAATGTGGAAAATGAGTTTGAACAAGGAGATTCTTCTGAAGCAGAACCAACACATGATGAACAAGAACCAGAGAGTTCTGAAGCACCAACAACTCGTCAATCAGATCGTGTGAGAAGACGTCCCAATTGGCACTCAGATTATGTTATAGAAGGTAATATTGCATACTGCCTTTTAACAGAGGACGGTGAGCCATCAACATACCAGGAGGCAATAAACAACTCAGATGCTTCAATGTGGATGATGGCGATGTAAGAAGAAATTGAAGCCCTTCATAAAAATAATACATGGGACCTTGTGCCACTACCACAAGGAAGGAAGCCAATTGGTAACAAATAGGTCCTCAAAATCAAGCGAAATGGTGACGATCAAGTTGAGAGGTATCGTGCAAGACTGGTGGTCAAAGGATATGCTCAAAAAGAAGGTATTGATTTCAATGAAATATTTTCTCCTGTGGTTCGACTAACAACAGTTCGAGTAGTTTTGGCAATGTGTGCTACATTGGACTTACATCTAGAGCAGCTAGATGTTAAAACAACTTTTCTTCATGGAAATCTTGAAGAAGAAATTTATATGCTCCAGCCTGAAGGTTTTGAAGAAAAAGAAAAGAAGAACTTGGTTTGCAGGTTGAACAAATCTCTGTACGGTCTAAAGCAGGCGCCGAGGTGTTGGTATAAGAGATTTGATTCTTTCATTATGTGCCTTGGACACAACATACTTAATGCAGACCCTTGTGCTTATTTCAAGAGGTCTGGTGATAACGATTTTGTTATTTTGCTGTTGTAATGTGGATGACATGTTGGTTGCAGGACCCAACAAAGATCATATTGAAGAATTGAAGGCACAACTGGCTAGGGAATTTGAAATGAAGGACTTGGGATCAACAAACAAGATTCTAGGGATGCAAATTCACTGAGACAGAAGTAATAGGAAGATTTGGCTTTCACAAAAGAATTACTTGAAGAATATCTTGTCACGATTCAACATGCAAGATTGTAAGCCAATTTCTACCCCTCTTCCTATTAACTTCAAATTATCCTCCAGTATGAGTCCTAGCAGTGAGGAAGAGAGGATGGAGATGTCTCGAGTACCGTATGTATCAACAGTGGGAAGTTTAATGTTCGCTATGATATGCACAAGACCAGACATTGCACAAGCAGTGGGTCGTAGACATATAATATAAAAAACCTACATTTATGCATATATAGATATATAATTGTCACGTAGAATGCTGTAATGACCCCTGCAGTATAGCCAGGATGAACTTTAATAGAAGCTCCAAAATAACCCGAACGAAATGGTCGATTTGATTTGAACCCACTTCCTACAACAACAAAAACTCGGCAATTAAACAAAGAAAAAGATTGGATTTCAATTTTCAACAATCAAACACGGTCAAATTATTGTTTTAGTCCCTTTATTATTTTTAAATTTAAAATTTAATCTCTAGACTCAATTTGACACTTTATATTTCTAAATATTGTTAGTTAATCAAAGTAATTAACACCAATGTTGTACGACCGGATCAATAATTGAGCTGGTCAGACTACTGACTCACTATTCGATTGGTTCAATAATGGTTAAATAAGAATAAGAAGAAGAACCTGAACTTCTGTCAAGCCAAATCATCAATGCATTTTGATCCACGCTCTGATGGTTAAAACCCCATAGATTTTTAAACGCATAATGGAAGCTCATCAGCCTAAACTCAGAGCTCGGCCAGTAGCCCGGCGACAGCGGCCACTCAGCATTTGTCAATGGAAACGTTAGAACAAGAACTAAGAGAAACAGAGCCATTAAAGCTTTGAAAGAGTGAAAGAGAAACTGAACGAGGGGGTAAATTCAGAATGTTTTGGTGTGTATATATAGATGCTGGGGATGTGACTTAGAAAATTTTCGTATCCGTATTATTTATTTTATCGTATCATAATCGAGTTTTTGTGTTTGGGATTTTGTTTTGTGTTTTTGAATCTTCCAACTGCAAGATTTTGTGGGTCGTATAGTGATTCTCAGACAATCTTGTGAATGAGAATTTTGAGCAAATTTATAACCTCTTAAATGGAGTGGGACATCAGATATATTGCATGGGGCCTTCAGCCTTGTGTTTGATTTTGAGTATGCATAATACGTGTCATTTACTAGACAAATTTAATGGTGTTAACCTAAACATCTAAAAATATAAACGTTAGGCACTTATTTTTAACGAAAACTTCTTTAGACACCTAAAGTTAATTTTAAGTATAATTTAGGCACTTATTTTTACATTAAACCTGTTAAGAATCCCTGAAAATTACCTTTAAATTAACGAATAAAGTAATTTCAATAAACCAATGTTCAACAGTTCAATTAACGTTAGAAATCGTATTAGAAAATAAGTTTATCTATAAAATAATTATTTTTTATAAGATAAATATTTGAGCTTTGCAAAATCTCAAATAATACCCCACAAATTTTGATTTTCTCATTGATGCATGGACTGCTTGTTTGAACATGTGTTTATTTTGGTTATGGGTGACAATGTATTATCGAAGGTGTTGGACTGTTGGCCATTTAATTTACTGGAAGCAACTTACAAACAATATGCTAAATATACTGTTTAAATCCCACATCGTAAAGGTATGAAGGCATACGTAGGGATGGACATAGGTAAGTTTGGTCCAACCCGGCCCTACCTGACCCAAAAAATATATACCCTCCACTCGACCCAATCAGACCCGAAATAATAATAATAATATTATTTTTATTTAATAAAACAGTGATTTAATTAAAAAAATAATATATAGAGGAGAATTATTATAATTATTCCTAAATATATAAGGTAAAATTATATTTTTTTGGTTTGGGTATTTTTCACCCTGAACCCAACCCGAACATTACCTTTAAAAAACGACTTGACCCGACACGAACCCAAAATTAAAAAAAAAACCCGACCCAATCGGGTCTTGGCCCACATGATATTAAAATTATTTATAGAGGGAGATAGTCCATTGCAGTAGCTTGCTACTGGGGCTCTTGTGCGTCGCCGAAGCGTTGTAGCATTGCTCGAGCCCAGCGCACCCAACCCAAATCAAGTTCAAGCAGTTTCTTTGAAAACAATACATTTGTAATACCACAAACACAATGCGCTATTAAGATCACAAAAAATATGAACCCAGCACAGATTATTAAGTGCAACGAACAGTTTCTCTGATACAGAAAGCTAAAACATCGAACATGAAAAGCAAGCCATCACAACAATGAAATATTAGTGCAACGAACATTGGACACAAGATACTCGAATCCAGATTAAAAATGGCTTTTTGCTAGGTTTAATAGTATGAGAGAGACAATGACGTGATTTATAAATAAGTAATGCAAAAATCCATATTTGGATCCAGGTAAGAATTCTTTCTTATTCAACGTACTTGCTCAAATTCATGCAAGATGAAAATTGTTTTTCTTTCGACAATATAACTACAATGTGATTTATAAATGAGAAATGACATGTTATTCGAGAAATATAATAGTACTGGGTTGGTTAATATCTCAATGATAAGAAATATGTATACCATACTATTGGTGAAGATTGCATCAAGCTTCCTTGCTTTTCCTCCCAGCTCCGGAAAACCAAGTTAGAGGGATAAATGGGCAAACGAACTTAATCAGTAACTGGATTTGTGAACATAAGCGTTGTTTGATTTAACCCCTTTCTTGCATTCTGCAGCTTCTGAAAAACGAAGATGGTTTATTTGATTAATGAAATCAAACTACAACTAGATTTGTGAGCATTAGCATACCTCTTTTAATTCCTTTCTGCTTCGATTACTACCTTGTTTGCATCAGCCTCTGTTTAAACACCTTTCTTGGCATCGTCCTCGATTTTCTCAATATGTGAATTTGAAGGGAGAACTGTCCTCATGGTAAAATAACAATTATGTGAATTGAATATGAAACACATTATAATCACATATGGTATTGTTGTCACTATGATTTTGTGGTGTATTATGATCAAAACTTTCGCACTTTCCCTCACAGTTTTCTTCGGCAGTTGTGCTGGTAGCTTGGAAGTTGACGATTCTCCTGTCTTGCTTCCAGTTGACGAGTTCTCCCTGTTACCACTGGGCGACGATGGTGGCTCGTTCGTACCAGATTGTGCTTCATGCTCGTGCTGTTGAAGGTCACAATCTTTACCGGGAGATGAACCGGAACATTGGTGGTGTCATCAGTAAGATTTTGGCTTTCTAGTGTCCAGCAACAATAATACAGGTGCCCACTATGAAAATCTACTGTCATGCAAAGAACCAGCTCCTCTTGAAATAGTTGAGGTTGAGAAAGAAGAACAAGAAGCAGTTGAGATTGAAACCAAAATAATTTTAATTAAATAATTGAATGAATATCGAAATTAAATTGTTATTTGATCAAACCAGAATGATTAAATAAAACCTAATAAAGAAGGTCCAATTAGGAAGCGAGTAGTACGTAAATGGTACTCGAGAGCGTGGTGTATTAGTTTTTTATTAGTTGAAAACAAACCGTTTTCTAAAAGCTCTATAAATAAACACAAATGAACTTTTCACTGCATCAACCCCTTCACTCTCCCCTCTCGAATCTTGATTTTGCCTAAATTCCCCTGATTTTCAATTCATCTAATTCCCCTAATTTCCCTCCTTTCCCCTTCACCCTTTTTCTTGGAAAACTCTAGGAGAGTTAACGTCTTTGTTGGGTGTTTTCGTTTTGTATTCGGTTCGATTCGCTTAAGAATCTGGTTTGTTTCTTTGGTTTCGGCTCAAATTGTTCTCTTTTGCGTTCAAATTCTTGGATGTCTGGTAAGGCTTCAAATTTTGTCATTTCTCTAAGATTTTAGTTCTTTCTTGTATGTACAAGTAGAAAATTAAGACCACCTCTAGGGTTTCTTCGAATCAGCTGCCTTTCTTTGTTCATTTTAACTTTTTTCCTGAGAAAATATAGATTGAATCAAGTTCCTTGGTTTTATGAGTAATTAGTTTGGGATTAATGGCATTGAAGAAAAGATAGTGTGAGAATTTTGAGGGGAGAAAAAAAAACTGTAAAATTTTTTATGAGTTTTTGAACATGAGCAATGGAGGTGTGGAGAGTACAAGAGATACGAGGAAGGGTGAAGACGGACCTAGCACTTCGCTAGGAAGACCGAAAGCTGATGATTTTGGGAGATGGGTTTCGAAGATTGCTGTGGCGCAGATTTGCGAGAGTGTTGGTTACCAGGGATTTAAAGGGTCTGCTTTGGAGGCCCTTGCAGATATCTCGATTCGGTATCTCTGTGACTTGGGGAAAAATGCAAGTTTTCATGCTAATTTAGCTGGTAGGACAGAATGCAACTTGTTTGATATAACGCGGGCTATAGAAGATTTGGGAGATTCACATGGGTTTCCTGGTGCTTCAGAGATTGGGAATTGTCTAGTAGGCTCGGGCATAGTTAAGGAAATTGTTCAGTTTGTGGATACAAAAGAGGAAATCCCATTTGCTCAGCCGGTGCCTAAGTTTCCGATTGTTAGGAACGGGAAGCTGATTCCTAGTTTCGAGCATATGAATGAAGCCCCGCCTGGAAAGCATATCCCAAGTTGGTTGCCGGCTTTCCCTGATCCCCACACTTATAATCATACACCTATTTGGAATGAGAGGGCATCAGATCCTTGTGCTGATAAGATCGAGCAAGCACGGCAGCAGAGAAAGGCTGAGAGGGCTTTGCTGAGGTTGCAACAGAGACTGGTGCGTAATGGCTCTACCGGAACTTCTGCTTCCTTGGTTTTGGATGCAACAGAAGCTGGAAGTAACCCCTTTCTCGCAGCCCCACTTCAACAGGGAGAGAAAGAGGTTTCAGAGGTTGTTTTGCCAGCTAAGCTTTCCAATGAAGTGAGCAAGGGTGATCATATTTCTTTGCTGGATGCATTTGCTCCTGCCATTGACGCAATGAAAACTGGCCCATCCGACAGATTAGATGGTGAAAAGACGTTCCTGCCTGAAAAAAGGCCTAGCGTTCAATTCAAATTCAAGACTGGCAAGAAAATCTTGGGTGAGTCACTAGATTTGAGCTTGCAGAGAAAGGGTGAGAGGAGCTCAACATTCTTTTTGCGCGATGACGAGAGGGACGATAAGAAGAAGAGAGCTGAGTTTATTCTTAGACAGACTACAGAGTATCCCATGGAACTTAACCAGTCTTGAAAGTGTATTTTAGGTAGTTCTTTCTCCAAATCTCGTATTTTTTTCTTGTAATCAATCATTTTAGTGAGCTGTCGTAGCGTTATCCTTGGATCATGTTGACATGGATTGTAATCACACTGTTGGGGGAGACAGATTTTAGGGGACGCTACTGGTTTGACATCACTGGCTCTAGTTTCATTTTATTCATCATTTCTTCACCATTTGTGTTGTACTGAATACTGACGTTTTATATTGGATTATGCACCAAAGTTTTTCTGCCTATGGTATTCTTAAACTGACATGTACCTAACTGGATCCGTTTATAATATTATAGGCCACAATTGGCGCTGTTAATAAGCTCTTTTTGATGGGAAATCATCCATGTTTGGTTAAAGAATGTCTGATTCATTCTCGAGAATGCTTAGAACCTGTAAAATTAAGTTCAGCAGTGTGAATTCATTACTTGTATGCTTCTGTAATGAAATATTTTCAATGCCTAAAGCACAAATTTTCTGTTGAAGCCATATGGATTCATCATCTGCTGCCTGCATATTTCTAACAACATAAATGGTTAATATCTTAGAGCACTAATTTGACTTGTCTCCCTTTTCCTTAAACTTAAAGATGTATTGTCCTTTGGATTCTCGTTGTCTTGTCTGTAATGTGAACTTATGTTATGTATGAATGAATAAGAGAGAGAGAGAGAGAGAGAGAGATGAGACAGCCATTTTTAAAACGGGAATGTGTGGTTTCAAAGAGGAAATGCAATTGGATCAGCTCCCGAGGAGGAAGACAACGAGAAGCGGTTTAAATATATAGAAGAGAAAGAAAAAAGAGAGCAAACGAATGAGTGGACTCGGTAGGTAGAAGAAAAATATAATCAAACTGCGTTTGTTGATATTCGATAAAAAAGCTTACATTTTTATTCATAATATCACAATTTAAATTATTTATTTTATTTAAAAAATTTAACATCTCATCTTATTAAATCAATTGATAATTAATAAAAAAAATCTTTAAATATTCACATTTAATTGAAATTTAACGAATTTAAATTAATTTTCAATCTCAACTCAAATTGAAGTTATAAATGTGCTTTTTAATTGGTTTGTGTTTATTACAATTTATGAATGTAAAAAACATAGGATACAGTATATTAAAAATTATTAAGTTATGTTAAAATGAATTTTTAATGAATTTTTTAAGGATGTTGCTGCCACGCTCGACGAGCATGGATGAGCACTATTAAATTAAATTATAAAACATTAAATTATAAAGTACTAAACATATAATTATAATTTAGTTAAAAATTAGAATGTAATTTAATTAAAATAAAATATTTATTAAATATTAATTTTTATAATCTTATTTTAATCAAAAAAATCTCACTAAATTAATTGATTATTAATAGTATTTTAATATACTTTAATAACCTTTAGTATATTTTATCCTAAAACTATTATAATTAATTACAATAAATATCAATAACCAAATGTTATTCATCTTGATTTTTAATTAAAAATACCAATGAGAGAATTAAAAATAGAGATAAGAAAAAAAATACAACAGTGAAATAATAAAAAGTGACATATGCATAATATAAAAAATTAAATTAAATGCGGCGATAATATTTTAAAACTATTTTAACATAAACTATGAATTATCAGAAATATATAATACAATATATGATTCGATAAAATACACAAACAGAATACGAATATGGATAAGTACACACAAACTTTATGATGGGGCGTGGTTGGTAAAGAAAATAACTGGAAATGTTACCATGCCTGAATTTGTTAACTTTGCATTAGATAATTTTCAACTTATGAGATATAATTTTGCCAAGTGTGCAATGGTTACAAATTTGACCCAAAGCATGAAGTTGTGCCACATTTAGGACATGTCCTACAATAAGACAATTTTCAAATTTTATCATGATCTTTAGAGGCATGGGGTTGTTGAGACTTGAAGCAATCTTGTTATGGTCAAACATTTAGTCTTTTATTAATCATTGATATTTATTTATTAATTAATTAATTTGGATAAAATATTACAATGACTCGTTAAGAAATAATCCTCTTAATCTAATATAATTTATTCAGAATGTCATGATTATGATACTTACTTTTATTTAAAAGATATGTTGTCTCATCTCACTGTTAAGGAGTAAATATTATAATTAATTATTTTAGTTTCGTTGATATTATTATTGAAGTTATTGTAAGATTATGAGATTGAATGAATTTAAGATTGAATCCACACCTTTCTAATCTGGCGTCTCAGCCCAACTCGATAGGCAACCAGTGCTGGAGATCAACCACACTCATGCATGTCTCCCTTCCTTGACCTCAAAACAAACACGCAAAGGACAATCATTTCAATGCAAAATCCCATGCATTAAACTTTAGATATATGTAATTATATGGATATAATACTTCTACTTAAATAAAACTATATTCTTTATTAAGTATTGTAATTTTTTTAAAATTAAATCAACTAAAATTTAGATATAAGACATAAAATCTCATTCAACTATACTAACTTCAAATTAGTTGCTCTTCTTTCTTTATTGTAAAGCAATGTCCCCACATTTGATTGAAACATCTTAACCCCCAAAAAAGAACAAAATATGTACCCTTCCACCTAACATTGACAATTAGCATCTCCCTTACATATATATATATATATGTATCTCAGTTCAAGAAACAAAAGCAAAGCATAACAAAGGACGAAGAGCCCAAAGGAAAATGAGAAAGCAATTAGTGTTTATCTTTGTTTTCCTGGTAATCTTCTTCCTTTGTCATGAGACTTTAGCTCAAATAGCTCCCGCGCCGCCGTTAAAGGTGGACAACATCACATCGATTCTCGAAAAAGGCGGCCAATTCGCCACTTTCATTAAGCTGTTGAAATCCACACAGGTGGCCGATCAACTAAATAACGAGCTGAGCACCCCCAACCCGAACGACGGGCTAACGATATTTGCCCCGGGTGACACCGCATTCAGTGGGCTCAAATCCGGGACGTTGAACTCGCTGTCCGATCAAGAGAAACTCAGCCTGGTTCAGTTCCATATTCTCCCCACGTTGATGTCGACGTCGCAGTTCCAAACGGCGAGCAACCCTTTACGTACGCAGGCGGGTGACGTTAAGAGCGGGAAGTTCCCGCTCAACGTGACCGCGGCGGGGAACCAGGTGAATATAACGACCGGCGTGGTGAACGCGACGGTGGCGAACACTGTGTACTCCGATCGACGGATCGCGGTTTATCAAGTGGACCAGGTCCTTCTCCCGTTGCAGATTTTCGGGACGACGCCGGTACCGGCGCCTGCACCGGATGTGCCCGACAAAGATGTTTCGGTTCCGAGTCCGAAAGCTTCTAAGGGTGCTGACACTGATTCTTCTGGTGCAATGAGCTTGAAATCGCATCACCCGGCAATGGTTTCTCTTGGATTTGCAGTTTTTGGGACAATTTTTTGGGGGCTTTGAGGTTTGTTTTGGTATTTGCATGCTTTGTAATTTGTGATCATTTATGTCACACCCCAATATGGGGTTAGATTTCTTATTGTTTAAAATGTGAAATGATATAAAGTTGGTTGGAAAATAATTATCTTATTAAACCATTATTTTATTAAATAGAATGAGGAAGATATAGTAGGTATAAATGGACAAATTTTTGGGTGGATTAGATTAGTGATAATGACATTGTCTGGAACCCATTGCTTCCAGCTTTCATTTTCGGCAAGTATCCTCCAAGCTGAAAATCAATTAAAGAAATTAATTGCTTTGTCATTTTCCAACAACAATATCCATTTTTATAATAAAATAGAAGGTGACCTTATGATTTCATTTAAATGACAGCAAATATCACTGATTGTTCTCAACGAAACTTTTGGTTCTCGGTTCCAATGATCTGGACGACCGTTGAGAAATAGTAACGGTGGAGATGTTCCCAACAACAAGGCAACCAACATATCTCGGAAGTGACTCTATCCATCGGCAAACAAAGGAGATCGGAGAAGTTGAAGCTTGCGATGGCCGAAACTTCTCTTGTAGATTTACGATTATCAAAGGAGTTTCTTGATGATTGGAGTCCGTATTCTTGACGAGGATACCAAGACTCTTAAGTGGTGGAGTTACGGGTTAGACCGACAACCGGCGACGGCGACCATCGTGGTGGTCAACACGTTTGGCTGTTGGTCGTTGAAGCTTTCCTGCTTCACTTTGAGAACACGGTAAAGCTTAAAAAGAAAATTGAATATATTAAATGTGTTGAATTATAAAAGTTAAGCATTTGTTCAGAGCACACGTGATTTGAAAGAATTATTAATAAAGTGAAAAAAGGGTAAATTACTAGGTGAATCATCCAAGTTTAGTAAAAGCTAACCTTGTTTTCTAGTTTCCATATTGTTATGATTATGACATAATGGTTTCAATAAGATCAATTTAGTCCTTGATTTTAGTAATTGAATATATATAGTGGCTCCATAAGTTTTTAGTTTTATCAATTTGGTTTCCAAATTTTTAATTAGATTCTAATAAGTTATTTTTTATGGCAAGGAAAATTATTGGAAGTCGTATTTTTACGATAAATTATCCGTGTTCGTTAGAAAAAGATTGGAAGCTAGAAATCAAGTTGGTGAGCTGGAATTTAAGACTAATATTAGGGGTTTTGTTGATGTTCCGATTTTGAGGTTCGTTTCACCAAATTCAAACCCGGTAAGTTATTTTTCACTGATTAATCATCCGATTCGATCCGTTTTTCGGAATTAAGCCTCGTTTTTTTATGAAATTTATATTGATATATATCTGAGGAATTATTGGAAGTTGAATTGAAGATCAAAGGCGTTCGAATGGAATTTTTATGGTCGATCAGTATTGCACAGAAATCGAGGTAATACTTTACTACCTCTTTATGCTTTATGGAACATGTTGATATTGGTAAATGCATGAATAAGATAATGTTAGTTTTATTTGGAAATTATGGATAACCGATTTTAATCCTATGAGAGTTTGTGAAGGAATCATTTCAAAATCAAAGAATGTTCGGGAAAGCAATTGATCATAGGATCTCTAAATTATAATTATTTTCGTTAAGAGCTAATATTGAAATTATCTGGTTAAGAAATTATGAAAATGCCCTTGAGGGATAAAATAGTCTGAATTGACCCTAAATGAGATAGTACTTTGAGAATTTGTACTTAACTCGATTAAGTACGAATTTAATTGTTAAGATCCTGTCTTTGTACAGAAAAATTTATAATATTCCGTTTGTAAAATCTGAGAAGACACTTGACCCGAAAATATTCGAATAAGGAGTAAATATTTGAAGAGTAATTTATCGGAGGTATTCTGCTGACAGAATTGTTCGAAAGGACTGAAGTAAATGATAAGATTAAATTAAATAATAAGACCGGATGGAAGGAAATGATTGAAATATTCTAGAATTATAAAATGACCAAATTACCCCTAGAATGGAAATGACTCAAGAATGTCACCAAGCTCAGGAATGAATAGATATACTCAAGCTTTGAAATGAATAGAAAAAAATGTTAAGAACCAAAATGACCAAAATGCCCTTATGACCTAGAATAAGTAAATGTCTTTGATTAATTAAGAAATCCAAATAAACATGGATGTTGTGCTACCAGTAAAAGTTGTGGAACGCAACTTAAGTGATTAAACAACGTTAGTACTATATCATTACCTGAATGATATAAGTATCACTTGAATGTTTGTTCATCTTCTCAAATTTGGATCGATGATAATTCTGGAAGTACTTGGCGCAGCTCAACTCTAGAGCGCATACAGTACTAATAAGTGGGTAGTCGTTAGTCAAATCAACCACGAATACCAGAATGACTTTATTATATGAATAAATTGAAATGAAATGAAGTACAACCTGTATTTGAAATTCAGAAACGTCTGAATTATTCTGGAAAACTTTAAAGTAATCGGGATAGACTTGCTTACCAACGAACTAAGTAACATCAATGACTAAGGATTAAATAGGTGATTTGATGAGTTTGGAAACACTGTTGAACTTACATGATGAATTGTCATTATGGGTTATGAGCCATGGATCAAGTACGTCAGTATTTCCTGATATTGTTGAAACATGGAAATGAAATAAAGACCGTTGGAAGATTTATTCAGTGATGATTATGGGGATGATCTATGGATCTGCACTATGGTATTAAAGAGTGAATACACTGGAAGGATAATGAATTGACTTGTTGACATGCATCAGTTTGAGAGTTGTGTAACTCGAGTTGTTTGATAATATGATCGATAGTCGTAGATTATAAATGACTTGAATCTTCGATTCTACATTTCATCTAAAATCACTTCGGTCATGTGAAAAAAAAAACAAGTAACGCAGATGGAAAAGATTCTGAATATCTCATTTGGTTCAATTGGGCTGAAATCCTATGAATTTAAAGTATATTCCTGAATACCCCTGATTGTTTGGGTAATGGAATCACTCGCAGTAAATCTGAATTTAGAATTATTATGTATAAAGGTTCCTGAACGTTTTCCTAAAGCACACGAAAATATAGTGGGATTCTAATGTATCAACATTAAATGTCTGGCTAGATCGGTTAGTAATCGATTCTCCTCAATAGGACCTTGTTCCAGGAATTCGTTCAAATTTCATAAGTTTCATGTTATCCAAAATGATAACTACAATGGCCTCTGGAAATACTTGGATTCTCTAGTGTGTTCCCTACTTATTACTGAACTGTTTTATTGGTTTTAATATGTGGTACACCAAATTCATTGGTTATTGTTTTATGGATGCACCAATTTTATGTGACAATTTATGGGATATGGCTGCTATCTAATTTTTGTTTTGAAATGGTATATGATTACCATGTTTTTGGATTTATGGAATTTATGTCACGGTGCAATTGAATTTTGGAATTGAATTACGATGGAATAGCTCTGATCAAGCTAAATGGGCCTAATGTGACTCTTGAGGGCCCCAAGATGTTTCATTAGGTCGACTTTCCTTTGCTGTGTGCTTAGGGTAAGCTATATGGACTTATTGACTTGGGCTTAAGTATACAAGCTTCATATCCTATCCTTAAGTCGGCTTTCTTTTTGCTATGTGCATAAAGTAAGCTATATGGAAAATAATTTTTGGGAACTACTGATGGTGTACCAGAAAAGGGTTTAAACTATGATTTTCAAAAGTTAAACTCTTTTACGAAATTGTGAGATTTACTGGACTATGATTTGTACCTATTATGATTTTATTATACTGTTGGAACACACTAGACATCTTATTCGATCTCCTGAAAATGTCATACTTTGAAAGGTTTCTTATGAACTGGGATTCATGGCTTCTACTCGATGAACTTCTAAGGGAACCCCAAATTATTCTGCAAGCTGGTATACGTATGATTCAATAAGGAAATTATATGGCTTTCCATTTATCTACATGTCATGTAGCATCATCTGGTAGTTCTGTATTACTGAGCTTTCCAAAGCTCACTCTATTACTCACCTTTTCAGGTTAAAACAATTGTACCAGTGCATCTATCGACTTCAGTAAGGGAGTTCTTCCGGCGTGGTTGCAGAGTATGGTACTTGTGATTAGGGGGCATGTAATTGTATTTTGATTTATATACGAGTTTGGAAATCTGTTTTATTTTTAAATAGTGATAAATGATTTTATAAGTTTACATGTTCTGATAAAAAGTTTTAAAATTTCTGCTATTTTTACGGTGGGTCGCTCCGGTGGCCCTAATGTGACTTCCCGAATCGGATCGGGCTACCCGCATCGGTCTGAGGGGGTTACATTTAGTGGTATCAGAGCTATGGTTTGAGTCAAAAATTTTCAAGTTAGACCGGCCGGTCGAAAGTCAAAATATGTCTGATAAGTACATGCCCCTAGACTACAATCGTGCCTCTCTGAGCTGGAACTACAAGGTTGAGTCAATATCTGTAACGAGTAAACTTAAGTTTTATCCGTTAGGACTCTATCATTACGTAAAGGAATACCAGTAATATTTGTCTAAATTTTGTAAAGTACCACCCGAGCTATGTGAGATTTACTTATCTGAGAAATTCTGACCCGACTTCAGAAATAAAAATGAGATATGTTATCGCTCTAGGAGCCTATTTTGTAACCAAGGCTGAATTGTTTTCACAAGGATAAATTGATCTGGTGATTTTATTGGAATGAGAGAGAGTTGTGATGATAATGTATACTCAGTTGGTTAAGGATTAGTATATGATACATACTTGTGTAAAAGCTGCTTGAATATATGAAAGAACTGATAGAAGTTTCATATCTGCAATTCTGTGACATGAATGAATTTCGAGGATGAAATTCTTTTAAGGAGGGGAGAATTGTCACACCCCAATATGGGGTTAGATTTCTTATAGTTTAAAATGTGAAATGATATAAAGTTGGTTGGAAAATAATTGTCTTATTAGACCATTATTTTATTAAATAGATTGAGGAATATATAGTAGGTATAAATGGACAAATTTTTGGGTGGATTAGATTAGTG